AAGCCAAGAGAACAGCCTAAAGTGAAGCCTAAATGTTTTGAGCACTTGGGCAATGGTGGGTATTTCTGATGGTGGGCTGGAATATGGGAGGACTTAGGTGCTCAGATTGAGCCTGGAAATGTGCTGTGTCCACTGAGGGATGGGAGGTGAGGAGTGACAGATCAGGAGCAGGGAAGTAGGTCACAGGGGCAGAGACACGAGGTTTGGAGTCAGACAGACCTGGCTCCACTTGAAAACGTGTGATCCTGGGCAAGTTATTCAACTCCCTGTCTCAGTTTGCAAGCTGGGGATATTACCAGTACCTTTACACTGAATCTGAGTACTAAAGGAGATAATATAGGTAAAGTGCTTAACATAGTTGGCATAGTAAATGCTCAAGAGATGTTAGATATTTATTTCACCATTACTATTAAAAAGGAAGATTTTTTTGTAGTATCCACACCACACATCTACCTTTGCTCCATGGCCAAAATGAAAGGATATACCCCCTAGCTAGGAGTAGGTAGAGGCTAACTATATTAAGACAGGGGATCACAACTGGAGGGGGGGTGCTATTTCCCCACCCTCCCCACGCTACCCCCATACACAAGGCGATCTTTGGCGATACCTGGAGACATTTTTGGTTGTCACACTGGCAGGGTGTGACTGGCATCTTGTGGGTAGAGGCCAGAGAGGCTGTTAAACATCCTACAGTGCACGGAAAAGCCCCTACCACAAAAAATTATTAAGCCCTATATGTCCATAATACCTAGGATGAGAAATTCTGGCCTAAGGAACCATATGTAGCCTTTATATACTTATATATACTTTATATATGTATATAAAGTATACTTATATCAAGAACAGCAGTTTTGGCAGACGGTTTTGCACATTTATTAAAAAGCACCATTCTGAATTCTACATTTGTCAGAGTAAATATCCAGTGAGGAAAAAAAATCAAAAAACCCCACAATCCAACAATATATAAAAAGAATAATATACTATGACCAAGTAGGATTTATTACAGGTAAGCCAGGCTGGTTCAATATTCAAAAATAAATCTATGTGATTAATCTACCATATCAACAGGTGAAGAAAAGTCTATGATCTTATTAATTGATGCAGAAAAAGCATGACAAAATTCAACATCCATGCATGATAAAAAAAAAATCTCTCAGTACAGAAATAGAGGGTGCTTCTATAAAAATGCTACAACTTACATCAGACTTAAAGATGAAAAACTGAATGCTTTCCAAATAAGGTCAGGAACAAGGCTAGAACATTCACTGTACCCACTCTTTTTTGACATAGTACTAGAAGTTCTTGCCTTTGCAATAAGGCCAAAAAAAAGTATACAGATTGGAAAAGAAGAAATACAACTATCTCTATTTGCAGACAACTGTTTACATAGAAAATCCCAAGAAATTGAACCCCAAATCCATAGAACCATTATTTAAAAGAGTGCAAAAGGGTCACAAGATACAACATTAACACTCAAAAATAAATTTTTACACACTACCAATGAACACATGGCAACTGAAATTAAAAATACATTACCATTTACAACTGCTCCAAAGAAAATTAAATACTTTGCCATAAATCTAATAAAATATTTATAAGATCTAATAAATGGCAAAAAAAGAAAAAAGAAAAAAAATGCCACCAAATGCTAACAAGGATACAGAGAAACTGCATCATTCATATATTGCTGGTAGAAATTCAAAATGGTACAGCCACTTTGGAAACTGGTTTGGAAGTTACTTCTACAACTAAAAATAGGCTTACCATACAACTCAGCAATCACACCCTTCGGTTTATATTCCAGAGAAATAAAAACTTATTTTTGTGTAGAAACTTGCACATGAATATTCACAGCATCTTTATTTATAATAGCCAGATCTGGGAACTATGCAAATTTCTTTCTATGGGGACTGGTTAAACAAACTGTGATACATCCATATTATGGAATACAACTCAGTGATACAAAGAAACAAATCATTGATATAGGCAACAACTTGGATGATCCTCAAGGAAATTCTATCTAGCGAAAGAAGCCAATCCAAAGGATACATACAACACAATTCAATTTATATAACATTCGTGAAATAACATAAGAGAGATGAAGAATAGATTCCCGGTTGCCTGAATTTAGGGATGTGGGAGAGCACAGAAGGTGTTTCTAGAAAAGGGTAACATGAGGAGTCTTGTTGTGATGAGTTAATCATCTCGATTGTGATGGAGGAAGCTACACATGTGATCAATTGCTTAGAGCTACACACACATACATGCACACCCAAATGAGTGTGTATGTAATTGGGGAAATCTGAATAAGCTCTATGGACTTTGCCAATGTCAATATTCTGGTTTTGATAATGCACTATAGTTATGCAACATGTCAGCATTAGAGGAGACTTGAAGAAGGGAGCACTGGACTTCTGTAGACATTTCTTTGCACCTTCCTATGAATCTGTAATTACTTCAAAACAAGAAGCTGAAAATTTCTTAAAAAGACTAACTTTTAAAAGAAGGAAAGTATTTGAACAAATGCTTCTTTTAAGAAGACAGACCAAGGGCAAATAAGCCCAGGAAAAGATGTAGAACATCATTAGTCATTAAGCAAATGCAAATTGAAACCACAATGAGGTACCATTACATATCCATTAAGACAGCTAAAATCAAAAAGACCACAATATAAAGATATGGAACAACTGGAACTTGTATCAATTGTTGGTAGCAATCCAAAATAGCACAGCGACTTTGGAAAACAACTTTCCAATTTCTTATAAAGTCTGTATATACTTACTATATAACTCTATAATTCCACTCCTAGGTATTTACCCAAGAGAAATAAAAACTTATGTTTATACAAAGATATGTACATGAATATTTATTGGCAGCTTTTTTCATAACAGTCAAAAGCCAGAAGCAACGCAAATATCCATCAACTGCTAAATAAATAATGGTTCCTCCATACAATGGAATATTATTTGGCCAAAAAAGAAACAAACTACTGACACACATAACAAGGATGAATTTTAAAAACATTATGTCAAGTAAAAGAAGCCAGACAGAAAGGACTACATGCTTTATGGTTCCATTTACATAACATTCTAGAAAAGACAAAACAAAAGATAAAAAACTCAGCTCAGTTGTTGCCAAGGGCTGCGTGGCACGGGGATGGGATTAACTACGAAGGGGCACTGGGGAACTTCTGGGGCAGAGAAGACATTCTGCAGCTTCACTGAAGTGGGTGGTGAAATGACTGCATGGATTTGTCAAAATGCATCAAACTGTACACTTAAACAGATAAATATGTAGATTACACACTTTTTTTTTTTTCAAAAAAGAAATGGAACAGGGAGACCAATAGCCAAGGGTCTACCGAAGCACTCTGATTAAAGATGCAGTTTCCTAGTAGGCATCTGCAGTGGGCAGAGTCTAAGGAAGCCGCTCACCTACTAAAGCGCCCCAGGTGTAGGGTACAAGTTCATTCCACTGTCACTGAAGTCTATGCCTCCAGCAGTGCAGTGGGCTTACCGTGATGGCCCTGGGTACCTGGAAGGAAGGGTTATGACCATCAAGTATGGACGTGAGCTGGAATAAAAACGTAAAGAGGCAAACAAGCTAAAAAGGGTTGTACACTCTGTACAAAGGAAGTGAGCAAGACACAATTATAATGTATGCATAACCAAAAAAACAAGCAAAACTGTTTCTGAGTCTTGGTTGTCTTCAATTCAGCTAACATTTCAAAAAAATGTTTCATAAGCCCTTCATGCCAGGCACTTTATAACATTCTAACCCTCACAACAATCCCTAAAGGAGACCTCCCTCCTGAAACTGTAACATAGGCAGGGAGGCAGCCAGTGCCTTGGGAAGTAACTATTGAAGGTCTGGAATCACAGGGCATGCATTTGTATACCAGTTATGCCACTTAGTGGCTGGTGACTTGGAAGAGCCACTGAATTTCTTTGACCCCGTTTCAGTAATAATATTGATAACTGAAAATGGCCATAATACATGCCTTACCTTCCTCTCTTGGGAAAGTGCTACACTTTAACAGTGTTCCTAGGGGGCTCTGCTTTTGAACAAGTCTATTTCAGTAATTAACAAAGATCAGCTTTCAAAACATCTAAGGGTCAGATGGCCTTGCTTTTCTTCTTAAATGTGACAAAAACAGAACGGAAGTCATCTCTTCCACTGTCTTGAAATCAATGTTCCCTTTTCAAGAAAATTGGGTGTCACCTCCCATATCAGTAAGGGTCCTTCAGAAAAATAGAACCAGGGGTTCTGGTTCTTTAAGTGTCTTGCTTGGGGGCGGGGGTGTTTGTGGGGAGGGTGAGAGAGAGAGTGCACGTGCGCGCGTGCGAGAGAGAGAATTCCAAGGAATTGACTTAAGTGATTGCTGGGGCTGGCAGGCTGGCAAGTCAAAAAATCAGAGGTCAGGCTGGCAAGCTGGAAACTCTTGGGAAAAAACTGATGCTGCAGTCTTGGATCTTCCTCAAGGAAACCTCAGTTTTGCTCTTAAGGTCCTTCAACTGATTGGATGAGGCCCACCTGCATTTTGAGGATAATCTCTTTAATTTAAAGGCAACTGATTGTAGACTTTAGCCACATCTACAAAATACCTTCACAGAAACACCTAGGTCAGAGTTTGAATGAATAAACTGGATTATTTGATACTGTAGCCTAGCCACACTGAGGCATAACACTAACCATCACCCCTGGCATGTGTGGTCCTCTGATATGCACAGGTGGGGATGGGGGTGGGTGGGTGAGAATTCCTACTCAAGTTTTCAAGAGAAGCAAGAGCAGACAGGAATGGCAGGACTGTCTAACTGAAAAATTGCTACCTGGCCCTTTTTTTTCCAACTCTCAATTCCATAGGTGGTTCTATTGTTCACACTACTCCCCCTATCATAAGCTCCATGAAGTAAACTAGAAACATTTTGATATAAGATCAAGCAATGGGATCTGAGTAACTTTTTTTTTTTAAAGTGAAAACAAAGACACAGACCACAACCTTCAAAAATAAAAAATAAAATTCATTTATTGAACAGGAAAAGTTTAACACATGATCCATGTACAGAACCCCAAATGAAATCTACGAGCTCCTGCATGATTCACATCTCTACACATACCACGTGGGAACATACATTCATGTAGGCACACAGCATACACAGTACTCTGTGGTTATCAAGACCTGCTGGACAGTAGTTTTTTATACTCCTCTTATTTACACATCCACTGACATGTTTTGCAATAGTCACATAATTTTATCATTCACTGAAACAAAATAGCTTCCCCAGAATCACCTTGATTTAAATGAAAAAACACAGGTTATGATAGGCACCCTCCACCCTCATTCCCCAACCCACCTCCCCACACTTTGATAACCTCTTATCAGCACCATTTATGACCCCTGGCCAGGAAACGACCCAGTGGTACAAGGACAGGAAAGAAATGCAACAAAGTGATGCTGTTAGAGCGAACAGCCTTGCAGCCAGCAGGACTAATTGCCTAAAAGGATCGACCATGATTGCAAAGACAAACCACACTGTCTCTTCTTCCCCTAACAGTCTTGGAGATTTGTAATGTACTATGGAAAATTTAATTCTGAGGCAGACTGGGAGCTGACTCCCTAATTACCACGTCGCGCCTCCTGTACTTTGTCTCCACTGTGAGGATCCAGCTTCCTGCTTTGACCAGGGCCAATGCTGGGGCCCACTAATCAGCTACAAAATAAACCCACTGCATACAGACCCTCCTTGCTGTGCATAGGAAATAGAGAAAGCTGTAAACAGACATAAATTGAGATTTTGCACTTCCGAAAATACACGAGGCAAACGTAGTGTTAAACAGAAATGATATTCTACAATTTGGGAGAAGAAAAAAGCAAGACAGGAGTACGAGACAGTAAGGGGAACAGTTTCCTAACATACTTGTTTGGTGGGATCATCACTTTAAGAAAACTGCTAAAACTGCAAATTCTACCTTTTGTGAAGGTACGAAGTAGAGAGCATCAGCCAATGAGTTTGGCTGGGGAGGTGAGTGAGGGGCAGGGCATCTGCTGCAGGTTCTCAGCTAAGACTTGCCATACATTCACATATATCTGGCCAGGGTTTGTGCAGACAGAGATCCCAGCAGCTGGACAGCAGCACACTGTAAATAATGTCACTTGTGAACAGTGACAACTTCTAGGCAAATTGAATAGAATATGCCAGGTCATGCTCTTCCCAGCAAGCACCTGCATTTCGGGGGAGGTATGTTGCCAACAGGGAGTTGGAAACTGGCTCCCAATAGTGGCATTTGCAGACCAGAACAAGGGGCTCTGAGCAGCTACTTCTGAGCTAATAAAAATCTGGGGCTGCACTGAGGAGACTGGGGGAGGGACACAGAGCCTAACAGTACTGAGCCAGAAAACCCAGGATTTGCCTTTGGTTTGGCAGATGCAGCCTCACACTCCAGAAAGCCTTTGTTTTGTTGCTCCTGATCAGACTCCTGCTTATGCTGGAGCTTTTTGCCAGGGACTGGAGCAAGGCACAGGACGAGGCTGGACAGCTGGTTCCGGTTCCTGAAGAGTGATGAGAGAAACCAAGGGCTCTCTGACTGCAGAAGGCCCAGAGGCTGCAGAAGAGGAAGCCCCCAGAAGGCCCAGAAGGCTGCTTCCAGAAGAGGAGGAACACCTCCCTCCCATTGCCATCTTGACTGACCCTTTCACTCAACGCCAAATTGCAGTGCAACTGCACAACCAGAAAGGCCCACTGACCGGATTCACCTTGCCAGGTCTTCTGGGTGAGCCATGCAATCAGGCTGTCAAAGCAGGAGCACAGAAAAGAGATCAAACAGAGGAAAAGCTATGCCAGATTAGCTTTCAGAAGCCCCAAAGCCAGAGCCACCCCTTCTATACATCACATTCTCTGGGTCAGGAATCCTGAAGCAGTAGCCTGTATTTAGCTAAGACCTGGGGCCAGAGGAACTCAGTATTGTGCTCCCCAGCCCTCAAGTCCCAGTATCACAGTCCCAGTGTGACTGCCCACCTGGACAAGACGGCTTCGAATAGTTCCCTGCCTGCACAGAAGCTTCCACCACAGAAGCCGCAGGCAGGACACTCGTCTGACCCACTTCTACTGACACGCACCTTCTCACTGAAAACAATTCTCAGGACCCCTGTGGACAGACTGCTGGAGCCCACACTTGCAAACAAGAGATGACAATTCCTGAACCCACTTTGGTAACTTCTAAGCCTGTGGCTTCAGAGGACAGGGCTGCGGCCACCTCCAGCTAGAATCTTGGTCATTTGAGCACCTGTTAGGAACCACCAATGAGCAGAAACAGTGGATGAAGAGTGTCATTCTCCTAAGGGAGACCAAGTCACCACTGATCACATCTTCCTAAGTAAATAAGTAACTTAGGAGTAACTACAATGAGAAAGTTTGGCTTTGGAACAGAAAAGGAAGCAGCAGCTGGGGCTGTAAAGGCGGGTCAGAGCCCTTAGGAGCTTTGGTAAAACTCACACACAAAAAAGCCCTGATACAGTTGTGCTGCTCTCCCAACTTTCAGGGCACACTGTAGCTCCAGACAAGTAAGCAAGAGCCTGGTGGCAGGAGTGGAGGACAGCAGGACCCTACCACATAGGCATAAACACACACACACACAGCTCAGGAGATAAAGAGCTAATGACTAATGCCCTTCTGAACACTTTCTCACACCAAGAGCAAAGACGGGGCAGCCAAAGCAAGATAATGTACCACCCTCAGCCTTCTCTGCAGTTTGTTCCCAAATCTGAAGGCTGACCTTGAGGTGAGCCAGCCCTGAGGCTATTTTTGATACTCAGGGGGAGGGACAGGCGTCAAAATTAGTGTTTAGAACACAGGGAACTGAAATCCCAACTAAGCAGTACCTTTAGAATCCAGGCCCTGACGGCAGCCAGGACAGGGCACCGTGTCTGCCCTGTCGCCCGCTGATTGTAAACAACCAAGCACCACACTTAGTGTCAGACCAGCTGCCGTAAATTCTCTGAACTTAGTTTCGCACTGTGCACACCAACCTCACTGTCTCCTCCGGGCAACAGTGCGGGGGTCCTCCCAGCGTGACGGCAACTGAGCGCTGCGACGCTGCTTGCGCGTCAGGGGCTGAGGCTGAGACAGGCCGGAAGGCACCAAGCCACCATTCTAGAAGCCTCCCGCGGCCGAAGCACGTCCCACTCCGCCACCCATTCCTTTGGCCTGGTGCGCCGGCAGCTATTTTCCTGAGTCCTTCGTATCTGCTCAATATGGAATCAGGCTGGTTGTGGGGGGCCACGTCCATGCCTCCCCACAAAGGTGCACATTTAGACGATCCTGATTAAAGTCTTTGAGGTACTCAGCCTTGTGTGCTGAGGACCTACAGACGTTTCCTGCGGTAAGTTTCTGTTCCAGCAGAAGCTGATACATGTTTACTGAAAAAGGAACGATTCACAATAACCTCAGATCTAGAGAGTCTAAGAACAAAAGCTAATTTTAAATAAAACATAAATATTTTCAATTGAGGCAGCACTTGGTATCTTTTGGGAGCTAAAGCAACTAAGAACACAGTATTGTGACCCACACGAGGAATTCAGAGAGAAGGTGTTGCCGAGGGTCACAGCAAGGCGGAGAGAGTAAAGACTAAAAACTCCAGCTCTGGGGGCTAGTTTTAAACTACTAGGGAGATCCAGACACCTGCTAGAGACTTGAATAGGTAGGAGAATACTGAAGTAAAATATGTGGGAGAGATATGAGAAAGAGGCCCGATTTTATAAAGAAAGACTGTTCTTACTTATTTAAGTCTGGACCAGAAAAGGAAATGCTAAAATTTTTAAATAAAGTGAGCTGTGCAACAAGAATAATTCAGGGAAGGTGGGTCAGAGGAGAGAGGCAGGTAAAGGAGAAGGCCTGATGGGGGAAAACAGTTGTAAGGTTCTAGGTTAAAGAAGTACACGTGAACAATGATGGCACTGTCACTAAAGGTGTCCCCTGCATATCTGCTAGCCACTCTTCCCTCTGCTCTCAATCCTGCCTAGTAGCCCAGGGAACCTAGGTGCCAAGTAGCAGGGTTTCTGAACAGCAACCTTCCTTTTCCCCAGAGCCTGGGCCCTCCCTGAGGCTCTGGGGCTGGGTGCTGGGGAACACACAGGGATGTGGTGGGCAGGTACAGTGGATGCACCCAGACGGCTATGCAGAGGCACTGGGGGAGTTGATAAGAATGGGTGCATTGCTTGGCTGGATCAGCTCGTAAAGAGCCTCATACGTCCCCACCACAAAGCCCACGAAGCCCAGGATGCTGATCAGGACGTCCTTGGCAATGGCGAGGGGGCTCATGCCCTCCGAGTAGTAGGTGGTGATCTCCAGGAGGGGCGGGATGATGAGCGCCAGGGCACTGCTGCTCACGGAGCCCACCAGGGAGATGACCAGGTCCAGGCGGGGGATGAGGATGGCCAAGATGCCTGCGGGAGAGAGGACATGGATGTTCAAGACTGCCCAGAGCTGGAAGGCACATCCTCACTGTTCTGCAAATTTAGCAAGTGTCCTCCTCATAGAATGGAGAGCTCCAGAGAAACGTAAGACATTATCCAGCCCAATCTCTCATTCCAGATGAGAAAATGAATGCCCAGGCAAGTCGAGTCACCTGGGTCTCGCTGAAAGAATGACAAAACTGGGACTGGAACCCTTATCTCCTGGCTCTAAGTCACCTAGCTTTCAGTTCTCCTACTGCTGTACATGATTTTCTTCTTCCCAAGGAAAAGGAACCAAATGACATTCCAATGCATTCTGGTCCTACAAAGGAGAGAGGGAGAAGCAAAAAAGGAAGTGGACCATTTCAAAATTAACTGCTCACTGTCCTACTGCTGAGGATACTACCAACACAGACATCTCTACTTGACTGACAAGAAACAGAATAGGGAAAAAACCCTCCTTCTTCTGAAATGATGCCATGATAAACTCCATTTCACGGAACAGGACCCTACAGGGAAACCGGGAGTAGTTGCGCATGCGGGCTGACTGCACACACGATGACCAGCCCCAAGGCCAGGACAAGCTAGTGAGTGGTTTCCACACCTGAGACTTCGGCGCAGGCATCTGTGAGGAAGGTGGAACTGACGAAGAATGGGGGCTCCGTCAGCTTCCATGACACACCAACGACTGCACCCGTCACGCTGGTTGGCAGTGCTGTTTAAAACCAAGGGGCGGGGGCTGCCCTGACCACGGTGATTCAGTGCCCATCGATCCCACTATCCCAACTCAGCTTTCTGCTAGAGGTGAAGGCCAATGTTTCACAGGGGTTTTGAGGATTTTGGGCTCTGGAATTAGACTCTTGTCAGGAACCCTGGCTTTACCTGAGCGACACTGGGGAAGTTATGGCTCCTTTCTGTTCTCTAGTTTTCTTGTGGGCTAAATGAGATTATTAATAGCTCCTATGTCACAGAGCTGTCACGATGATGAAAGGGAGTTACACGGGCACTTAACAAAAGGACTGGTGTACGACAAGCACACAGTACAGTTAATATTATGATTGTGAGTGTATATTTTGCTGCTCATGAAAAGTGCATCCTTAACTCATTAGTACTCAAATGTATTTTGATGACTGTCGTCCCCACTGCCGGCCACCAACTGGAAGTCCTTACTTAGCATTGAGACAGCAATCCAGGGCACATCTATTACCTCCCTGAGCCCTGACAAGAGTTACATATGCTGTGGGGGTTTCAGCTCTAACTTCACAAAGCAGAAATGTAATCAAATTGCTCTGAGGAAGGCGTCACACTGGTGAAATGATCAGAACATCTCAGTCCAATGCAGCCAGTTTTATCCTTCAGATGAACTGTCTGAATCGATTGATTGATTGCTGCCTCTTTGGCTGAGCATCAGATCAAAATCTGAGGTTGCATTTAGAGGCCAGGTTTTATGAGTAAAACTTACTTTTAAACTGGAATACCACTCCTTGCAGTAAGAGGAGAGGCCTGTGGAAACTGAGATATATCAGGGGAAGAGCAGATTCACATTTCCTGTCTCGTATTTACTAGTCACTAATTATTGAAATTTAAATGAATTCAGTTCCTCATTCACACTGGCCACGTTTCAAGGACTCAACAGCCACTTGTGCCTAGTAGCTACTGTCCTGGACAGCACAGACCCAGAATATCACCACAGAACATCTAGTGTCTAGCTGACTGCATGGCACACCATCTACTCATTGAGCTGAATTTGCCATAGCTCCACAACAGGATTATTGCTCCTGTGGAAACAGAGGCCCAGAGAGGTTACATGATATGAAGTGATAGAGCTAGGTCTAGAATCCAGGACCTCAAGCTCCTGGTACTGCTCCATCATAAACTTCATTAGTAAGAAAATACAGACTAAAATACAGACCCGCAAAAGGAGGGAGAACAGGGGATCTGGCTGACCAGCAGAAGGATCCTGTCTGTGAAGAACTGGGGCGTCAGATGTTGGGTTAGCTCTGCCGGGGAGACACCACAATGGTTTGGCAGAGAATCCAGCATATAAGCCAGTCCCAACCTCTCTTTGTTTTGTAAAGGAAGTAACACAGTGTTTTGAAGCCTGTTAACAAAAGGGAGTACAGGAGTCCTGAGCCTCAGACATGGCTGGCCATGATTTCACAGCCTTGGAGCAATCCTTCTTCCAGCAATCAACCACAGTGGCAATTATCCATCAACACCTTCACTGTTTGGAAGCCTTCGGGAAGTCTACCAAAAGTGTAGCCTTTTAACAATAGTCTCTTTTGGCCCTTATATATTTCCAAGTAAACGGAGTTGGTGATATTCTTCAAAACTTCAGGGTTGAATCTGGAAGAAAGTTGGAGGTAAAGTGCCTGCAGGCTGATGATAAAACGGTGTTCTCATCATGAGTAACCTAATGCTGAACAAAGGTTGGTCTGCTGTGTGCTTGGAATAAGACACTTGTCCTCTCTGGCGTCTGGGTCTCCATCTGCCCATCCAGGAATGTGGTTGAGAGTTCAGGTTCTGGACTCAGCCTAGGCTCGTATCCCAGGTCCACCACAAACCAGTCAGTTACTCACCCTCTTTAAGACTGTCATTTGCCCTGCTGCTAAACAGGAATGGTCAAATGTAAAGATTTTAGAGAACCAAGTGCATAGTGGATGCTCCAAAAATGTCAGCTGATATAATTACCAGTCCCCGCTAAGTAGCAGGCTGTGATCCAGGGTAAATTGACTCACTGTTCTGAGACTCAGTTTGTTTACCCATGAAATAGGTGAATGTACTAATATTGATTGATTGCTGAGGTCTCATCCACCTCTGCATTTTAAGGAACTATACAATGCAGATTCGGTATCTTAGGAAAGTGTTCTGGGATATGTCCCCCACTCACTGTCAAGTGGAAAGCACCGTGTGCCGCTGAAGAGTGGCACAGCAGAGCCATGGGACGCCTCTCCTAGAACACACGGTTGTGCCAAACATAATTTCTAGCCCACCCGGCTTTGTACCATTGTAGGGAGTGTGGGTTATTCCACTGGTCTCCACGGCTGCTCCAGCCCGCTCAAGAGAAAGGAGGCCTTTATCAGGGACAGTGAGTCCCAGGAGGAGACAAGTCAGATGACCTGCCTGGCCCTCCCACCTCTGAGAGTCTGTCATTTCCTCTCCATCTCACATTAACCTGAAGGACAGATGGACATTCGTGATATGAGTGTGAAGTCAAATCAGATGTGCTCCACGCACTCTGCGATAAGAGTTAAGTGGAAACAGAAACAGAAGCTTGTATGATCAGGATCTTTTCTCAGATTGAACAGAGATGTTCTACTTCATCATGATATTTTAAAAACAATCTAAAAAATTGTTCTTGTTTTTCTACAAAGGATATACAAGATAAGCCTACTTAACAAAAATATCCCTAATAGATATTTTTTAAACAGGCAAAATTTTTCTCTTAAAGCCAGGACCACAGGGCTGGAAAAGAAAGACTCGCCTCCAGCCCTAGATGGACCAGATACCACAACTAAATGCTAAATAAAGCCTGACATTGGAGAAAGATACTGGGAGGAGGCAAGAGCGAGCTTCCCACTAGTACAGGGAAGAGAAAAGGCCCAAATTAGCATAAAAGCCCCAAAGGCTCAATAGCAGGGACATCTGTTTTGCCACCATGCAAAATGTGGCAAACTAGTTTTAACTAATTCCAGAGGCAGGAATCAGGTACTTAGGAAAGAAGATATGGGAGCAACTAAAACCTCTAAATGTATTTATGAGTTAAAGCCCTTTAGAAAGAGAAACTCAAGAAGGCTGAGATCTCAGGAAGCAGCCAACTAGGAATACCTCTCCCTACTCTCTCTGGACTCCCCACAAAAAACACCTCACAGAACAGGAAGACAGCGAAGTCCCAACTGGCAGGTCCATAGCCCTCTGCAGCTGCTTAGCTGTGTCATGTACAGAAAGTGGGAGCTGAGGACAACTCAACTGGACCACATGATTAGTCAAGAGGGTTCCAATGGTATTACAAAACATCTTCCCTTTGGGTTAAAAGACTACAAAGAGGATGTTTTAACGGCTAAAGTAACATGAGGTAAACGGCCATGTTCAGAGAAGGAACTTACTGGGATTCTGGAGTCTGTGGTTTTAGGCCAGAACAGAAACAGCTGACAAATACACAAGAGAAGAGAAAGCACTTAAGAGAACAAAAACACACTTACAGGAATATGATCTAAAATCATATACCAGTTGGACACTTAATAGCTTCTGTGTATCCAGAGCTCTTTCTGCTGTTTTATTATGACTGATGTTGGTAAAGCCCACCCATTTTATTCTTAAATATCTAGAAATCTACTTTTAAATTAATTATAATCTTAGACAGAATATATAAATTCATTGAATGGAGGTATAAATTTAAAAAGTACAAAAGCAAGGGAAACAACCTACATGTCCAACACTAAAGGAGTAGTTTAGTAAATATGACCCACCAATATAATGGACTATCACACAGTCATGAAAATATTTATGAAAAATATGTATATTCATGATCTAGTGTTAAATTAGATGAAAAAGACAAAATTAGTTATACTATGATTGAATTTTTTTTCACAGATTTTATTTATTTATTTTTAGAGAGAAGGAAGGGAGAGAGAAAGAGAGGGACAGAAACATCAATGTGTGGTTGCCTCTCACATGCCCCCTACCAGGGACCTGGCCTGCAACCCAGGCATGTGCCCTGACTGGGAATCAAACTGGCGACCCTTTGGTTCTCAGGCTGGTGTTCAATCCACTGAGTCACTCCAGCCATGGCTGATCGAAATTATTTTTAAAATGTACACATGAGGATTAACACAGATAATAAAATGCCAAAGAAAATTATTTTGTTAGGACAGTGGGATACTGGGAATTTCTTCTTCAATAACCTCAGATCTAGACATTCTCCAAATTTCTTTACATTAATCTTCTTTTTTTGAGCAACATTTTGGTCAAAACCTAAAATCAGGCTCAAAGTAGTTGTGCAGAGTCACAGAATTTTAAACTTGAGAGAAACCTTAGTGGTTGGATGTCCATCATCTCTTACAGCTGAAGAAACTGAGGCCTCCTGAGGGTCCCTGGGGCTGGGGCGCAGGCACAGCTCATTTATGCTGATCCCTTTCTTCATTTAGCTATGCGACCGACATGTGTAAAAGGCCAAAAGCTTCTGAGAAGCTACTCTATTTGGATCTGGAAGCTCTGTGCTCTCAAGCAGGGGTCCCCAGCCCCCCCCTCCTCCATGAACCAGGCCTGTTAGGACCTGGGCCACACAGCAGGAGGTGAGCGGCGGGCAAACCAGCAAGCCTCATCTGTATTTACAGCCACTCCCCATCGCTACCATTACCACCCGAGCGCCACCTCCTGTCAGATCAGCAATGGCATTAGATTCTCATAGAAGAATCTATGTGCTTGAATCATCCTGAAACCACCCACCCCTCAGCCCTGGTCTGTGGGAAAAAACTGTCTTCCACACAACCCGTCCCTGGTGCCAAAAAGGTTGGGGCCACAGCTCTAAAGGTTCCAGTTGCTGGAATGTTTTACATTTAGCTATACATTCTGGTCTAAACAGGCCTCTCAGTTGATATGGCTTTATGTTATCACATCTTCAACAATAGATTTCTGAAATTCTCATAGCTAACTGAAGTGAAATGTTTCACATGGCAAATGCCACAGAGAATTAGTAGCAACCACTGAGGGACAGGCTCATGCCTCCTGGAATCCTAAGAAACTACTTTTCCTACACCTCTGAGTCCGCAGGTAGAGAGCCAGCCTCTTTCAGCCTCCCCTTCTACACAAGCTCTGGATGAAAGGTGACTGGCTGAGTTGGCATTTCTAAATGTATGGGCTGGAAGAAAATACTGCCCCATACGAAATCCTAACAAAATGAGCACCGTCCCCTGGCATGCATTATTTTCCAGCTCCTCCTCCCCAGTAGCCTGAAATTCAACATCAAAAAGTAGACACAGCAATCTTTGCAGGGTAGGGGAGAGTGGTAAGAAAGTTCAATTACAAGTGGGAAAAAACAAGGCTGGACCAAATCGCCTGCTCCCCTTGGGGACGAAGGGTGAGGAAGAGGAGAAAAAATTGGGAAAAATACAAGAAAACACCAGAAATAAAACGTTTAAAAGCAGCCATTAAAATTTATGGGTAAAATCAAAAACAATGAGTTATATCAAAGCCCTAAAATCATATACAAATTAACCTTGTGCAAAAAGTTGAAAATACAAAGAAACAAAAACAAAATGAACTCATATAAATACATTTAAATTGGTGCTACAGTGAAATGCCTCTCCTGAATCCGACGATTACTTCAAAGTCTCCAGGGAAGGTTAGAGAAGCCAGAGTGCTCAGAGATTAAGGGGCTGCATCTTTTAATAGGATGACAATCCAATGCAAAGTCATGAAAGATCACAGAAGAGAAAAAACTGACTGCGCTTCAAGATCAAAAGCAGCTCAAGTCCTTTGAGCATCATGCTGTAGGAGGAAGGTGAGAACCACAGATAGAGAGAGCCAGGAAAAGTGAGGCAAAAACCAAGAGGCAAGTAAGGACAGCATGAGGCCTGTGAATCAGAGACTGGTGGCTCCTGCAGGGTGCAACGGAAAGAAACCTGGCAGGAAGCAAGGCATATGCTACCGGAGGCTAAAGCCAGACTATAGAAGGAAATGGGGCCGTGAGGGAAATCAGGGCCAGCATCACTGCCCCGGCTCTTAGGTCAGGGAGAAGCTACTGCCTGGGCAGTGACAGCATATTTCACCAAGACAGACCTGGTTTTTCTAGAGGGACCACTTTGAAAGAAAGCCAATTACGTGAACTATTCCCACCTTTTCTCCCACCTTTTAGATCCCAGAACTGGGGTCCTGAGAATTGGGGTTATTGACCTTATAAACACCTGCATGTGAAACCCATCTCCTCAATACTTAGAGCTAATCGATCCACATATGAAACATACATATCTGAATCAAAGCATCCATGGTTTATGGCAAAAGACAGGGTAATATCTAGACTCCAAGCATCCTATCAGCACGCATCAAAGCAATTTACTGGAAAAGCAAGGTGTATCACCTTCTTTTCTTTGTAGTAGCTCTGAGCCAGCAGATACCTGTATGCTGCCCTGGATTAGCTGCTGAATGTGCTGTTTCTATAGGCTGGACTAGAAAAATAAAAGCTACAAGGTGAAGTCAGATTCTTCATTGCCATCAGCTCTCTGGGCCTGGAAAAATCAAAATGTCCACCCTCTGCCCAGCTCCCACCCAACCCCAACCAGATATAAATTCTCAGGAGGAGTGCTGCTCAAGGTCAAATCAGAAAGTCATGGAAAAGCCTTAAGTTTCTTACCTCAATGCATTCTTTCCACACAGATATCCAGGATGATAAGCTTCCACTCACTATCCTTCAAGTAACATAAAAAAGAACTGCAAGTGCCTTGAGGAGGTCCATTCTGTTAGAAGCACCAGTTTGTTCCCTTGAGGAGGTCCGTTCCAGGACTCGCACAAGACTATTTTCTTGAAGATGTATAGTCTCAGATAAGTCCTAGTCTGTTCCCTTGACAAGGTCCATTCTAGGATAGGTACTAGTATCTTCCCTTAAGGAGATCCATACTGGTATAGGCAATAGGCTATTCCCCTGAGGAGTCTATTCTGGGACAGACACTAGTCTGTTCTCTATATTTTGCTTGGGTGGTTGAAAAGAATGAATGGATAGTCTCTTGCCTGCCCTTCTTTGGCTAACAGGCAATCAATAAAATCATTTATGATTTCCCATACTGTGAGGGAAAGCCAGACAACATTTACATGTTTCTCCCTAAACACTCAATCCTGGTTCAATAAAAATTATAGAGACCTATATTTATTCCAAAGCCAAGATGAATAATAAGAAAATCTCTGGGGAAATTTAAATGTGCTAAGCAAGACATATTGTCCCAAAAGAATAAAAATTTTAAGAATAAAATAAAAAGCCAAATACAGCCTAAAGAAAAATATATGATTCAAGCATTTCAAGTTGGAAAGCAATTACAAATATCCCAGTAATTTAAATTAGATAGCATAGATCAAGTCATTTGGAGTTCTCTATTGTATCAACTCACATAATTTGAAAAAAAGAAAAGGACTAATTTTTGTCTTAAATATATAGTTGTTCCAACCATGAGCAAATAGGGTGATATCTTGTCTCTTAATTCACACCCCTGGGTGTGTAGTCCAGGGAAGAGGAATAAAACACAAAGTGGTAAATCAAACACCTGGTTAACTGATAGAAAAAATAGCTAAGAAACACATTTATGTAGACCAGCATCCCAAAATGTCCAGAAGAGTATCTGTAGCCTGAAATGAAATCTAAGGAACAGACTGTTACACTGCAACATCAACTACCTGAAAAAACATGTACTCACTATCAAAGTAACCTGTACTCATTACAAATACAGTTAAATGGCTCTCCTTTAGGCTTTTACCGTATTTTATATGGAATAGTAATTTTACCTCTATAACTTTTGACTACCTCTGTAGCATTTCATACCATGCTGATAAATAACAGTCCCCATTTCCATGTCCTAGAGAGCACATACGTCATCAATTCACCTCACCATCAGGACACACGTCAGCTCTGAAACAGAGAGAGCATGGCAAGCTTCCTGTTTACCCAGCAAAGGTCAATTTCACTCCAACACAAGCTCTCCTTCATGGAAAGCCCTAGAGGCTGGGTGCCCTTTGGAAATAAACAAACAAGGCAATTCTCTTGTGTCTACTCACAAGTCAGGCAGACCAGCATGGTGCGCACGAACAGGTCCACTACCAGCTCCCAATGCTCAGGTATGCGGGACACAAAGAAGGGGATGATGATCTCCGCTGGGACATAAAACTGGATGGCGTAGGTAAAGAAGATGCCAATGGAGTACAGCAGCTTCACTGACTGGTACAGCCTGCAGAGAGAACCCAGATATATTTCAAAGCTGGCTCCACACGCTCATATACTAGCAGGGATAGTGTAAAATGGTCCCACTGCGATTTGGCCACATTTCTCCAAGTTACAAGTGCACATGTCCTTTGGACCCAGCAATTTCATGTATAGCAATTTGTCTTGTAGATATATTTGCATATGTGCACAAAAACTTATACTCAAAATATGTCATCACAGCATTATTTTAAGTGCAAAAAACTGAAAACAGTTTAAATGCTCATCAGTAGAGAACTGGTGAAGTAAATCATGATGTCCCCATATAGCAGTTAAAAAGTGTGAGGCAGAGCTCTAAGTGTTGACATGGAATTAGATGTATGATGTACTACTAAGTGAAAAAACCATGAAGCAGTACAGTCTCTACAGCGTGCTACAATTTGTTTAAAAAAGGGGAAAATCATTCTCCCTCACATACATATATATGTGACATTCTTACAAACACAAAACATCTCCAGAAAGAAAAACAAGACACTGGTTAATATGGTTGCCTCTAAATGGAAAATTGTAGAACTGGGGACTAGAGGAGGTGAGTGGAAACTTAACATTTTCTGTACATTCTCTGAACATTTGAAGTCTTTACCAGGGACGTATATCCTTTCAAACACAAAAAAAATTAAAATGTACCAAGCCTGTTTATATGTATCTTCCCCATCCAATTCACAGCTCCCTAGAATCAGATGGTGACCACACAGAACCAAGAGGCACACGCAGAATCCATATTCCACCCACTACAGCCATCTTCCTGCCACTGCTTCATGTGTAGCTTCTCAGGATAACCACTATCTCACCATGAGATGCCTCTATCTAGCCCATCCTTTTTTCCTACTCTGCATAGGCCTAAGACTATGCAGAGTAGGAAAAAAAGTCTTGTAAGTCTTATAATGACCTTACATGATCATTAAAAAGAAGACTACGCTACCCCTCAGCAAAACTCCACATCAAACAAGACCCTAATGTGTTAAGCTGCAAGAAACATTGGCCTCCCTCCCTTGTTGGAAATCTATTTTAAAGTGGTGATTTCATTGTTTATAATGTGCACTAAATTTCTCTGTGGTTGAGCTTAATATCTAGAAAATGTTCTTATGCTAGAAGCAGGAGAACACCCTGGGAGAGACTGAGTTTGACAAAAGGTCTTACTTGCTCCAAGAATAGATGATAAAATCTCTTTGTAAAAATCAGCTGGTGCCTCTATAATTACACTCAGTGCAGCACCAAAGCCTGCTGGAGTGCAGGAAAGCCTGGAATCAAGACAGTCACCTGCAGGGATGGCCAAATAAATTGTACCCAAATGGAAGCAGAAAGATTAGAATAGCCGGGTTTGAAATATCAGAGGAAAGAAGACAGATGCTCATTTATGTCATTAGATTACGTGGGCTGCTTTTGCTGCTCCTGATCCATTTATCTCATTATACCAAGCTACCATCTGATTCTTGATAAGGCAAGAACATTTGGAAATTTAAAAGCAGACATCAGGAGAAAGAGAAAGAATTTCTAAAAACAATGACCCATTTCAGGGATACCACTTGGCTGGCCATACAAGAAACTTAGTCCCCAGACCCCTGCTGAGTAGGGTGTCCTTTGCTAAACACTGACAACACTAGTGACAACAACCAGGCCAGCCCGAAAGGTTATTCTGATCCCCAGGGCACTCAGCAAGCGTCTCAGTGTCTGCTCACAACTGCTTTCCACATTGAAATTTTAATCTTCAAAACAGAACTGTTGCTTAGAACACACCCTGTGACGTCTATATTTTTGGGAAGCACTTCAATATGTATGTGTTTCCTCACAGTACAGCAACCAAGAGTTAAGGAAATTGAGATACAGACAGGCTCCCAACAACCTATGGTCCATGGTGAGAGGCCTCCATGTGCAAGTCAAGTCAGTGACTGCACGGGAGAGGCATGGCAGAGGCTGGGAACTAAGCAAATGTGCCCTCTGTGCTCCTCCCCCAGCACCCTCCCCCCGACCCCCGCCATCTATATGGAATGGTTTTAAGGTAAATGGACTAGATACTTGGTCCTCCTTGGCTCAGATTTCCAGAGATAAATGGTATATGCATCAGATGATCAACCAATCGATTCAGGATGTATCTCCATAGGAATTGCTCATCCAAACAAAGAGTAAAGCTCAGAGCAGCATCCTACTTCTCCATCACACCAAGATACTGTTACAAAGATGTTTCTCACACATATATCACTTCACCTTCATAACAATCCTGGCAGGAAGTAATGACTATTCCTCATTCTCAAGAGGGAACTGAGGCAGCGAGAAGCTGTGATTTGTCCAAGGCCACAGAGCTAGAACATGGCAGGTCACCTCTGTCCTATGAGCCCCAATTGCTTCCTAATAACATCTCATTTAGAAAATGCCTCAGTCTCAGTGTCTATTCCTCCTTTTTGTTCAAAAATCATTCACTTGGTGATAATCATGCACCAGGTGCTGGGATAAAATGGAAACGGGATGGTTGCTGCCTCACAGAGCTTATAGTTTAGGGAGATCACAATGCAGGTACATGAACAATTTACAACACAATGGAATAAAAATTGGGATAGGATTCTAAGGGGACCCTGTGGGAGCAGAGAGAAGGGGCATCTGACTGAGACTTGAAGTTGCAGTCAGTGAGACATCAGAGTTTCACAAAAAAACATGACTCTTAGACCAAGTCCCCCTCACAGAGTGGAAATTAGGATGGAGCCGGAAGGGCCCTGATGGGCACCTTCAGGAGGGCAAGGGAAGCCTCTGAGGAGTTCTCAGCAAGGGAAAGCAAGATTGGACTGAGCGTTAGGCAGCTGACCCGGGTAACACATGGGAGCCCAGATCTGGAGAGAGATTAAGACTCGGGCAGGGACATAGGTCAAAAGGATTGGCAGGAAGCCACAGAGGGATGGTGCTGGCCTCGGGGTGGTGGCATCGGTGGCCTAGAGTAAAGCGGGCAGACTTAAGAGATCAGAAGGAGAAAGAATCTACATTCTGACCTATTAATTTAAAAAAATACAAAACAAACGAACTGGCAGAATAGAAACAGACTCAGATGCAGAAAGCATTTTGACAGTTGCCAGAGGGGAGTGGGGCTGGGGGGCGGGTGGCGGGGAGGAGGACTGCGAAGCGCAGGCTGGTTGTTGCAGAGTGGTCACGGGGATGTGGAGTGCAGAGTGCAGAATGCAACCAACAGTGTGCTCTATCGCATGGTGGCGGATGGGGGCGGGATGTACTAGGATGATCACTTAATAAGTTATGTAGTGTCTAGTCACTGGGGCATACGCCTGAAGCTAGTATAATACTGTATGTCAACTGTAATTGAAAAATAAGAAATGGATTAAAAAATATTTAGTGCTCTCACGCTTCCATCCTCCCCCACATACCAGCAGTTGGGCAGGTTGAGTGTTATACTGCCTTGGATGTTAGCTCCAAATTGCAGGTACCCCAGACACCCCAGGCTGATGTAGAGGGCAGTGACAATGGCCATTCCCACATACAGGATGACTGGAAATTTCCGGGGATCCTTCATTTTGTTTTCAAGGGGCAGAACCTATGAGAATAGTGAAAGAGAAGAGAAAGCACAGGAAAAAAACAACATTAACGGTCAAGAAAAAAAATTTCATATTCTCAGAAAATAGTAGTTTATCCTTAGAATTCCTCAAAAGCACATCCATCCTTCATTAGACAAATAAATGCGAGTCGTTCCCTCAGGAGTTTTCCCACGGAGGCAGCGACCTCAAGCCCACTGTCTCGGTTGGGCAGTCCTGAGGCGTCAGTGTGGGCAGGGCTGGGACCCGGGGCTTCTGGTCCGGGCTAGCCCTCTGCTTCCTGCTATGGGATCCCTGCAGGCTGGGAGTTCTCTTTGTGCCTTGAATGCAGCCACGTTGCAACCAGAAGGCCCTTTTGCATCACACCCACCTGGAACAAATGCTGGTGGTGGCACAGGCCAGCCATATCTCACCTGAGAGCACAGCTTTGCTAACCTGTCCAAATACAAAACAAACGTCAGGAAAAACTGCCATCCTAGTCCACCAATACTGTTTCCTTACCTCAAAGAGGGTGGGCACCAGCAGTGACAAATTAAACCTCTAAGTTGGAGAAACTGAGGTGCTGGGGGTGGCATGACTTAATAGAAGATCCTGGATATTCAGGATCTTGGATATATCACAAAACCCAGTTTCCAGACTCCTGTTTCAAACCATTCACCATTCCTGCCACAGCAGAGGACATTCTTTAACTTTCACTAAAGCAAAGATTAGGAAGATTGGTTCACAGCAGGGAACACAGCAGGTACGTGACAGTCTTCACAATCTGCCATCAACTGCTTCCGCCATGAAGGACAGGGAAAAGCAACACAGGGAAATACACTTGCATTATGCTCATCTGCCTTGAGTGCCTGCAGCCATGAGGCAGAGCAGGTCTGTGCCGGACACACCCCAGCAGACACCATGAGCCAAAGCCCAGTGCTCTGAGGGGCACCTCAGCTCTGCAATTCCAACTAGCCTTCAGCAAGCTCCATCCCACCAGCTCAAGGCTTTCAAGCTACAGTTGATCCACATCCAGTTAGAGTCTATTTCTAAGCTTTCCTTCGGTGTCCTCCTGCGGAGAATTTAAAGAGACAGATGGCAGGGAGCCCCTCTCCACCATGTCCCTCTTGCCCTGGGCCCGCAGGGCAAACACAGAGAGAGCACAGTGCACAGTGAGCAGTGGCACTATACTCAGATGTGCTCAACAGCCCCCAAATCCAAACTAAGTCAAAGCAGCAGTGTCCTCTCTGTTGTAGAAATAGAAAACACAGTATCTTGAAGTAACACATGATGATGATTACAGAATGACTCCATATTCAAGGCTTGGCTAATGAAATGAAGCAAAGAACAACTTCTGCACTGTGCTACTAAGGAAAACTGATAAACTCAGTACAATGCCAGGATCTCCAAGGCATCTTTCCACAATTATTCAATCTCTTCTTGCCAGTCCTGAGTACTTGGGACCTCTTTCTCACTGCTGCAATATGGACCCATTTCAGGCCTCTGCCCTAGCAGCAGGGAAACCACTGGTGTTTGTAGATTAAGGTGAGACATTCTTCCTGGGTGATGAGAAGTCCCAAGAAGGAACACAAGGAAAGGTTTAAAACCTCAGGATGGCAACCTACACACTATCACTCAGAAAGCCTCCCCCATCATGTTAAAGCCTTAACATAGTCCATCAACATAGAGGGACAATTTGTCTCTGTTTGGACAAAAATGTGTTAGATTTCTAGGTTTTCCTAAAAGCATATATAACATGACAGGGAAATCAAACGTGGAGAAAATAAAACACCATGAGAGGAAAAGTGTCTTCTCATTTCCTAAGCCCTTGGCCAGCAGAACTAATACTTTTTTTCAGAGAAGAATTCTGTACCTTTATTATGAAAAATTTTTATATAAATAAAAATCAAATTAGGTAAAACTGAGTGGCAGATTCCTCACTTCAGGAGAAAAATGTAATGAAATCACAGCAATGATGGGGAGAGCTGAGCTAGGAGTGAAGGCTATCATTCACACAAAGAAAATATGGTACATAAATGATTCAGGGCAGAAAAATTATTCACATGTTTATTGATTTAATAATAAAGTCAATAGTATTATTAAAAATTATTTAATGCGCATTGTATGTCAGAAACTGTGCAAGGACCCAACCTCTCTGAGCCTTCACTGTTTGCTTCTGAAAAGTGATTTTAATGGTTAGTGATTGTTAGGGTTAGGTGAGATGTGTGTAAAGTGCCTTGCACAGTTTCTGACATACAATGCGCAAGGCCACACAGCTACTCTTCGGCAGGAGGACTCACCCAGATCTGACTCTAGACCCTGCATTCCTTCCCCCACCCCGCCCCGGGGAAACATGTGTAGGGCACCTGTTCATAGAAGGGGCATGGGCTCTGTGCCCCCGGGACAATGGCCCCACATTCCTGTTGGGTGTGTTGTAAACGGGGGGCCATTTCTTCGGGCTCCCTGCTCTGAGCACACCCCCTAGACCCTTCATTCTTAATTGCCATGTACTATTGCTTGCACATACAGGAGATGGGTGAGCAAAAGAACTGGTTTGGAGGTAAACATTCTCAAATTACATATAATTTATTTTGAAAAGCTGGAGCTGGGGAACTTCTACGGGATCCCTGAAAGGCTATTCACTGACTGGCCATTAAGTCTCAGAAGATCATTTCCAATAGCATTCCCACAGCATTCCTTAACGCAGACCTCAAGGACACCAAGGACACCCTAGGATCATCACACAACTCTTACCATCCCAATGCCTTCAAATGCAAAGATGGCTGTGCCGAAGAACAGAGGGTAGGTCTTCCAGGGTGCCACCAAGGGGAGGCGGCTTGGGTCTGGGATCCCCTGAGGGAGATAAAATAAAACAAAGCAAAGGCTATACATAAAGAGCTTCAAGATTTGAATACAAACATCAACCTAAATCCTAGAGTCTCTAAAGAGAGAAAGTCTGAAACCTGACAGATGATTGGGAGACATTTAGCCTGTGCATATTTTTCCCTGCAGGCTGAGAAAGCCCCACTTGCTTTGGGAAAAGACTATCCCAATGTACCATAAAAACTCAAATGGTGAAGCCTGCATAAAAATAGTCACATTCGTTCCCTCGGTAATCCCATCCCTAGAAATTTAATCCAAGTAGGAAAAAAATCAAAATATAGAAGTTAATATTAGTAACTAAAAACCACCTAAATGTTCCCAATAAGGAACATTTGAGAACATTTAGTTTACTCACATCAACTATACCACAGGATATCATGAACTATTTAAAAAGTAAAAACTACGATAACTAAGTAGCACATGAAAAACTGCTTATGAAACATTGGGAAAAAAAAACCCTTAAATTTACACAGTCAGTATGATATAGTACATAAACACTCCACAGGACAAAGCTGGAAGGGAAGATGGTAAATTTTTAGATGAGCTCTTTTTCCTTTTTTCTCTACTTTCCTTAAAAAAAATTCTTATGAATAAGTTTGAGTACTTGAGAAATATTGACAGGCACATGACAGTAGTATTGAAATATTTGAGGGAAAAATAGCAAAAAGAGCAATTTAAAAATACAGGCAAATAAAAACCAAGGCAATTGTCAACTGCAAGTACAAGGTAAGGATGTACAATCAAGGAGGGGCAGGCACAGAACCCTACCTGCTCACCACTGGACAGCAGTACCCAGGACTAGAGCGCATCGAAGGAGCAGGACATGGAATGGGGCAGAAGCTGCCAACCTTTTAGAATTTGGCTTTTTAAACCATGTGTGTACATTGCTTAGGTTAAAATAAAAATTGACTTTACAACGGCCTTTTACAATGTTTTAAAATTGATTTAACTACAGAGGCAAATTAATTAGATCAGTATGGGGCATGTCCTAACAGTGTGACAGAATAATATCAGTGAGCAAAAGAAAATCTAGGATTAATCTCAGTAATAGAGGCTTCTCTGTGAAAGGTTTCAAAGTAATTACATGACAGTCTCCCTGAAACATAAAGAATTTCAAAAATACTTTTTTCTGAGCTGCTGCTAAGAAATCAGTTGGATCTCTTTACAAGAAGCATTTTAGTAACTGGAATGAAGTCAGATAATAAATATTGTTGCTCTAATGAGACAGGAGAGTGAGAGTACCCTGTAATTAGTCCTGAGTCACAAGTTCCTGGAAACAGGAGCCATCTGCTGATTAGGGGATGACTACTGCTCAGGTTCGTACATCAGAACAGACTGACGTATCAGAGAGGGAATATCAGAATACATGTCTGGGGATTTGACGCGGATGAGATCAACAGAAGGAATTTAAAATTCTACATACTTAATCATTGCTATTGACTTTATCACCCAACCAACTAAATGAAAAAAGTTTAATATGCAAAGAAACATACAAATTAAAATCAGCTCACTATCAACATGTTATCTCCTCAATTCTACACTACTTTTAATTATAATAACAGCCTTTTGAGGAAATGCTGTTAAATGTATATAAGGATTGAAAGATGTACTCCACTTTTGGAAACACTGTGAAAAAAATGCATCTCAGAACTAAGGATATGCAGTGATGAAAACATTTATTGGGATTCTCCTCTGGGCAAGGCATTCTGCTCAGAACTGTGCTGCCACCCATTTGTTCCAAGAAACCTGCTCATGTGGAAGACCTCGGTCAGTTTCTATGATGGTGTATGTGTGAAGAGCAAGAGCGCCAATCACATACATGCTCAGAATTAGGTAAAAATTCAGGAACATAAACCAGCAGTGGAATCCTCATGGTAAACAGAGCAAAATGCAAAGAAAGGGCAGTAGCAACAGCAGCAGTGGCAACAAAAATGACCTAGAGGGAACATCTTTAGGTACGTGCCACGTCACACTGAAGCTGCTCAACACACCTGAACCAGCATTCTCCCATGTGGCACCCAGAGCAGGTAGTACTACTTGTTCACAACACACTCCTGGCTGAGCCCACTGGCAGGCTCAGGATTGCTCTCAAGGAGTCCGGAGGATTGCCTCACCCAAAAGGGCAGGTTGTACTGTGCATAGACAATGCTCTGGACAGACACTACCTTCACCTGAGACCAGGACGCTATCACAACCCACATTCCCATCCCAGCCTTCTGTTCATAGCAACGACCACAGTCCAGCTCCTGCACTGGTTCATAATTAAACGTGATATGTGTGTGTCACTCACCTTATCTTGAATGTCCACTGCAGTGGTTCCTAGGCACTGACTGAGATCTCTAATTACAAAGTTAAATCAAGAATTTATTTACCCTTCTCTGTTTTAACTTAATTTGCCAGAACAGGGGGAAAAGACCCTCTGGAAATCATCCATTGTGCATTCACAGGCTCCTTTCAGTCTCATAGTAAAATGGGACATGGGAGCTGTTTATTTTATGTTTTAAACACTAATTCTGCAGAAGAGTCAGTATCTGCCACCCATCTGACTTACCACAACAAGGGAAAAACAGTAAATGCTCACTAACCACAATCTAAATTCACTGTCATTTCTTTAACACCGGAAGTTACTACTTTTTATGACCCACTGTTTACCTAGAAACCACATCAGTGGGTAACTGTGTGATAATGAGGTAAAGTTTACCTGTCGGACTGATCAAAATTAAAACGATTGACATATCCAGTGTTGGCTAGGATAGGAAACTTGTACTGTGGAAGGGGGGCTGTATGAAATTGGTAAATAGTTTTTGGAAAAAGTAACTTGATAATATAAAAATCCCAAAAGTGAAAAGTCTTCAGCAATTGTACCTCCAGATAAATATCTTGGAGGAGTATTTATACATGCCCACAAAAAGGAAGGCATAAGAAAATGCATAAGGCATAATACTGAAATAATACTAAAAATTATTAATGACGTGATAGTTCGTTAACTGGGGATTAGTTAAATAAACTGAGGCACATATATATTCTGTGAGATACTATATAGCAATTTAAACCAGGGATATCAAGATGGAAAGCTCTCTGAGGCATCATCGACGGAAAAGAGGTAGACAAAAACTACATATAATAATCTTTTTAATTATGTTAAAAAATAAAACAAAAATAAGTTTAAAAATAAAACAAAAATAGGTCTATTTTATAAAAAAAAACAAAAATAGGTTTAATGAACAAAAATAGGTTTATTTTATTTAAAAAAAAACTATTTTTGATTTATATACTTCTGTACATACTAACAGTATGTAATGCACTCATAGGACCTGGGAAGAGACAGACCAGTCACACCCAAGCGATGTCCAGATGGAGGAGGCGCAGGGTGTGGATACGGTGTTCAACAGGCACTGGTGCTGCCTGCACTTTATGCTATTATTTATTTATGTGAGAGAAAGAAAAATACGGAAGCTTCAAGAATTTGCATGTCATCCTTGCGCAGGGGCCACACTAAACTTCTCTGCATCGTTCCAGTTCAGTGAATGTGCTACCAAAGCGAGCACTGCCTGTATTTCAATGAGAATGTACTGATGAGTTATATAGTGAATTAAAATGAAATGCTTTTTTTAAAGCTATTTTTTTATTCTCCTGCTATCACTCTTTGCCTTCCCTCAAGTTTTGGCAAAATGCAATGTACTGCCCATAAACAGCCGCAGTGTTTAAGGGCACGCTCTTCTCAGCCCAACCTCCTGCTCATTTGTATAGAGACATCCTCGTGTACAGCACCACAGGCCTGCCCACATGGGCTGTGCGAGGGGGAACCATAAGTGGATTTATAATTTTGACAAATAAATATAAACCTGGAATTGTTTATATTTAAAATGGTTTATATTTAAAAGGAATTATTTTATCTAAATATAGGTTAGAAGACTTGGTTTTTATTTTTATCTTAACATTTTTCTCTATTTTCAAATCTTATAAAATGATCTATGTATTCACTATCTACTGGGGAAAATTTTCAATCAGTGATCTCAAGAGGAGTGACTCTGCTTCCCAGAGACATTTGCCAACTTCTGGAGACACTTTTATTGTCACAGCTGGGGAGGAGGGGTTGCTACTAGCACCTAGCAAGTAGAGAACAGGGAGGCTGCTAAATACCCCAGAGGCATGGGACAGCTCACCATGACAAAGAGTTAACTGGCCACAAATGTCAATAGTGCTGAAGTTGAGAACCCCTAAGGTAAATATTGAATATATCACGCATAAGTAACATATCCCTATTTATGGTCCACTTACTTGTTTTGTTTGTTTCTTTGATTATTTAATGGGCTCGTACCTGAACAATGAACTGGTAGATCATGACCAGGCTGACCAGCATGGTGACGTTGGCCAATAGGGAGAAGATGGACAGGACTCGAAGGTTCCTGATGAAAACCAGCAGCACCAGGAATGGCAGGAAGGTGAGCATGTAGAGTCTCGAGTCCATGGTGGGTGTCAGAATCACTGTCTCATTGTTGTGGCAGTTGTTGGTGGTTGCATTGGCCGCTTCTATCACCTAGAATGAGGGGAAGCCAAGAAACAGAAAAACCCTCTCAAATGACTAAGGCCAGTGAACCTCCCACTAGAAGGGGTTCCTGACTAAAGGTTCAGCGTGTGAAAACGGCGGTATAGAAGTCTGTAGTTGATGAAGTATCTTTTGAGATCTTTGTAATTATCATAGCAACACAATTATTTGAGCTGGGTTTAATCATATCTTACCCAAAGACAGGATGATGGACAAGACATTTGGAGTTTCTCAATGCCCTAGGTCTTCAGACGAAATCAAACAACAGACACTGTTCTATGTAAAGTCTTCTATGTAAAGAATCTTAATTAATTTCTTTTGTTGAACAAAACTGGTTTGGAAAAAAAGCCTTAACAGAAAGTCCACTTATTTCTTGCCATTCTCCCCCCGCACCCATCTCTCTCTCTCCCTCTTTCACCCTCTCCCTTTCCTTCTCCCTTAGCCAGGGCCCTACCTGTTTAAAGTTGTCAGCCAGAAAAACAAAATAGACACAGCAGAATCCCAGCTGCGTGACAATCAGGAAGAAGTCCACAGTGTGCCTGAAGGCGGAGAAGAAAGGGATACAAAAAATCACAACAATGAAGGGCAGGACTCCCAGAGTGACGGGCGTTTGAACAGTGCTTTTGCCCCAGTCATCACAGACCCTTCTCATCGGGTGACAAGGATGAGTGTGCCCTGGAGAGAAGAGAAACTGTGCTAAGGGCCACCAGTCTAGAGCTTTGGAGGAAGGTGAAGGTGTATGGTTTCCCAGGGGCCCTTCCTGGCTTCTTGTCTGCAATGCTGCATGAGGTCAGGCAATCCCAAGACTAGAATGGCCAGAGGGAAGCACACACACCAGCACCAATGCCCAGCCTCACAACTTCCCCCTCCCCAAGTCCGCCTGCTCCATCTCACATTTGTTCTAAAGCTACAGGGAACCCTCAGCATAACAGCCCAGGAAGCATGGGCCCCTTCACAGTCTCTTTCTATAACTTGAATCCAAAAACCAACCTATTCTCTCATAAGTACACAGAAATAGATGTACCCAAAAAGATTGCTGGTTGAAGCACTATTACAACAACAACAGCTGATAACAACCTATAGGATCATCAAAAGAAAAATGATTAAATTATAGACCATTTTTAAATGAAACATTATACAGCAGGCAAAAAGCATATGTTAAATCTATATGGGCTGACAGAGAAGTGACTAAGACCTTTAAGGGAAAGAAAATAAGTTTCCAAACAGTATACATATGGACATATGTATATGGACATACATAGTATGGTCAACTTACATTAAAAAAATGAGAATGTGTACATGTTTATATACATAGATATTCCAAAAGGATACCCATACAACTATGAACAGTATATATACTTTTACTTTTCACTTCATGTCCTTCTATGTTGTTCAAAAACAATTTTTTCTTACCATGAGTACACATTAATTTTATTAAAGCAAGGAAGGGAGCAAGAAGGTGAGTAAGAAAGGTGACAGGGTGAGCCATGGACAGAGGAGGAGAGAGAGAGAGGGAGAAGTTGGGGGGGAAGGGAAAGAAAGGAGGGGGGGGAGGGAGGGAGGAGGGGAAGGAGGGAAGAATCATTCACCAATCAACCAACCAATCAATAGTGGTCACCTGGCAATCTGTGATCTCCCAATCACAGAAAATGATTTGCATAAATCTGCACCACAGAAGGAAGCTGACAATGAGTGAAGGTGAAAGTTTCCCTATAACCACAAAAAGGAGTTTTTCTGAAGAATATAGTTTTAATGTGGTTCAACTAAAAAAAAAGGAAGGGACTCAACCCTTAATGACATCAATTCTCTACATCTAAATGTACTGTTTCCTCAAACAGAAAAGAAAATGCAGGATATTTCCTTTCACACATCTGACATGTTACCACGAGGAGAAATTTCTTAACACTCCCCTGTTCCTCAAATGTCTCCCTACTAAGCCCATTTGTTCTAGTTCACCTCACCTCCTCAAAGCCTTCCATTGCCTGCCCGGCACCCTGCCCATAAAGCACCCATCATGTGCACTCCTCATCGGCCACAGTGTACAAGAGAATCTTGAAAGTTTCTCCCCTCTGAGTGCCTAGGATGTATTTATAGCTCAGGACACTCTCTTCCTACTGGTTTATTCTATTCCTGATCTCTTGTTCACAAGACTCTTATGCACCTTTCTCATTAGAAAAACTACAAGCCCCTGGAGCACTGGGACCATGTAACTCACCTTAGAGGATTCCCCCTCCCCATACCTAGAATTGTTTTGTACCACTTATGAGAGTGTGTGGGTGTGTGTGTGTACATATATATATACACATACCTATTTATTGAGCAATGAGGGAATTACATATAATCCCTGCTCATAGACTATCAAAGCTGGAACAACCTATAGAGATCTTTCAGGCCAGGCCCCATGTTTTACCAATGAGGAAACTGAGGCTCAGAGAAGGGAGGGGTCACATCACCCTAGGTCATAAAGATTACCACCAAAGGGCTGAACTGGAACTCAACTTTACTGACCCGAATGATGGTCTTTCCACCAATTACACTGTCTCCCACATCTCACCCCACTATCTGGAGGCTACAGCCACAACAAGAGAGGAAACCAGTTACCTTCCCCAGTGCGCGTGGTTCCGGACCCAGGAGATAGGGCTGGATTCCAGTCCATACATCACTGTCTCCCCATAGTCCACAAAGGGCTTGTTCAGTCTTGGAGGAGAGGGGGAGAGCAAGGGCAGAGTGTGTGGGTTAGACAAAGGCAGGACAAAAGTAGTTCACTGAGACCTGGGCCAGTTCCTCATCTGCCACCCTGGAGTATCACTGAATCTTGGATCAAATGTTTTCAAAGATCAGAAGTATCAAGTCAATGGGACAGATACTTTCATTATAATTAACAATCATCTGGTAGAATCATTTCAATGGGTAAATATTGTATTACAATGCATATAAAAACATAATGCGCTTTCTGTCCACTAGACGTAAATTTGACAGATAATACATGATGATGAAGAACACAAAAGTAACATGGCAACGTTAATCAGCAAGGACATTTAGCTAGCATAAAAAATTTAGGCTAATCTGTGTAAGTGCTCAATTTCAAGTAATGAAACCTAAAAGGACACTTTGTCACTCAAGGGGCAGCTCAGAGGGCTCTCACCTGTGGCAGAAGTGGTGAGCACATTTCACCAGGAGACCCATGCAGTGCACGGCCACGATGCCTATCAACAGCAAGCTGAGGGGACCCATCTGGGACAGGTGTTGTGGGCAAGAGAGGGAGAGACAAGCAGGAAGAATTAGGAGTGAGCCAACAGAGCCTGGGTTTGCTAATGATCAGAACACTATGCTACTAAGGCACTGTCCAGTGACAGAACTTCTGGCACAGCATCAGAGACAGCAATGTGATTGTGGAGATTAGCTCAGCAAGACGGGTAGCACCTGAACCTCAGCATGCCTTCCAGACAACTAATCTCATGGGAAATGACACAAGATAAGGCTGTTCAAAGGCTGTTGTCAATAACAGAAAAGAAGGCTCCTGTGGCTGTTTGGAAAGAAGAGATAGGCTAAGAGGTGTGGGGCTGGGTGAAAGTTCTAGGCTGAGAGGTGTTGGGTAGGGCGAAAGCTCTAGGCTGAGAGGTATGGGGCAGGGCGAAAGTTTTTTTAAGAGCAATACCAGATCAACAAAGACAGCCCTTAGCTAAGAAAAACCCACAGCTCGGAGCTATCTCTAACTCTAACAAAACCCAGCATGGCTTTGGACAGGGAGTCTACAGTGGGTAAATCATAAAAGAAAAATATTCTCAGAGTTGGCCATCCAGAGATGGGGCATGGAAGGACTGTGTAGAAAATGGATAGGCTTCTGTTACTAATTCTTTAGTTAACATTATTGATAGAAACTGCCATGAGACATCTTAAGTACACCTTCCCCACCAGAAAGTAAGCTCCATGAGGGCATGATCTTTTTTTTTTTTAATTCGCTGATCGTGTCCTAAGAGCCTAAAACAGTGCCTAGCGCACAGAAGGCCCTCCATAAATATATTTAGATAAATGAACATCTGAATTTTTATTTTTCTCAGCTGATTTTTTTAAAGCTTCCCATTTACAATGTTTTAAATGAAGTAAGAAAAAAATTTAAATCCACTATCTTAATTTGCCATGAAACTTCCCTCTGTGGATGCAGACCCTTACCAAAATGCCTGCATTTTTCACCGCCAGAGGCAGCCCCAGGAGTCCTGTGCCAATGTTGCCTTTTAACAAGTGGATCAAGGTCTGGAACCACCTGAAGTGAGAAAGGTAGACAAGGACATGTTAACAACAAGAAGAGCTAACATTTATTAGGCACTTAGCGCTATGCTAAGTGCCTTTATGTATTACCTCACTCAATTTCCACAGCAACCCTATGAGATAAGTATTAACTTCATTTTATGGATGAAAAAGCAACTTGCTCAAAGTCACATACCTGGTAAAGAGCTGAACTAGGATTCAAACCCAGGCAGTCTGATCCCCAAGCTCACTATAAGTTCTGCTCCCTGTGGCATCTCTGAGAACCCCCTCTTTCTTGGAGATTAGATCAAAGGGATGGTAGGATTCTCTCCATCCCTTTGATCTAGGCACTCTGCCCTTTCCTAGTGTGTTTGCACCTGGTTTTCACCACACCCACTATGAAGAATCAGATCCCATACTATAATAGAGGAAGCTTAACTGTGAAGACAGACACTACCATCAGAGAATAGGGGAAATATAAAGGAAAAGCCCAAAACCCTTAATATAAGGTTTTATGGAGAGAATTTTCATGCTTATGTGAAGTCCCCTTGTGCAAGTATTAAAGTCTGATTTTCTCCTGTTTAAAAAAAAAAATTTTATGTAAAGTGAACAAAGTCATGCAGTACCTCAACACACCAAATGTCCCTAGCACACTTAAAAAATAAAAATTTAAAAAAGTCAAATGCCATAGAATCCTAGGATTGGAGCCCTCTTTAGTCACCTAGTTGATCCTTCTGCGTTGAGGACAGATTTTCCCCTCACCTATTATGTCCACCCCGAGGTGTAACTGTAAAGCCTCTCACACTCCCTCATTTATTTTTTCACTTAACAAATTAGTATCCTGCGTAAAATGTGTTAATGCACTAGTGGAAATAAGTAAGAATTGGGTATGGACCTCAGTCTCTAGAATCAAACAACGTCTCAAGGTAGAAAAACCCCAACGTGAAGAGAGCCAGGAACAATGTCCAGGGAGGGGAGGCAGGAGAGGGCTCAGAAGGGAGAGACCTGAGCAGAGCTCAGCAAGTCAGGCAAGGTTTCTAAATGTGCTGGTGAGGAAGAAAGGCCTGGAAACACAAGCCTAGAGAGAAATGTGGGACATCAACGTGGAAGAGTGCACCAGTTTTGTGGCCACTCAGGTGGCGGGTGAGGATGGGCAGGGAATTTCTGCTTTTTCCCTAGGGAGTAGGAAGTCCTCAAAGGACTGACAGCAGAGGAGTGGCCTCATCTTCAGCATTTTCTATTCTTTGTTAACTTCCAGAAGGATACGGACCAGATCATATACGGTATGGTTTTCTCTCAAATCACAGACTCACTCAAGATTTCACCCCTGGCACAGTCTTGAAATTCTTCTGCACAAATAACCTAAATCCCTCCTAAATGATGCTTAAGCACAGTTCTTCAAATCTGCAATTCAGGAGAAACAGAAAGCAAATAATACATGTTATGTGACCATATCAAACCCATCTTTACCCTCTGGGAAGGAATTTTACTTTTGGTAACTTTACCTCCTTCTATCTCCAGGAAGAAAACCTCTCGAATGTCCTGCCATTCCCAAGTTTTTCGGGAAAAAATCAAGGAAACTGTTTCAAGAGTAAAAACGAGTCTGAGTGTTTTTCTGGACTATTCTGAGGAAACAGCTAAGGACCAGAGAGCAAGGGTCCAGGGGTGACTCCTTCATTACCAGCAGCCAGTGACCAGGAGATTATGGGTAGGATGATAAGCCAAATTTCTGTCTGGGCAAGTAAGCGCTGCACCAAACCCACCTGCCTCCCAGAGCCCTCCCCTTAATGTCTGAGCTGGGTTTCGTGGGAGATCATGTCCCTCTAGCCCTGGCTCTGCCAATAATTCCAAATGAAAATTCCCTTCCCTTCTCTGGGCCCGTTGTCTCATCTGCAAAGTGAGGGGACTGGACTAGGACAACAAATTCTTCAAGGTCCCTTCAGCTCTGAACTACCAGAATTCTAGGCAATTGACTAAAATTACTCTTTTTACTCAATGGCCCCAAGCTGGAATTACCCAAAATCATATGTGTATCACAAAAACAACTCCAGGGACTGCAAAGTCTTAACTAGGGAGAGGCGGAGGGAGTGGGGTGAGAAGGCAAATAAGCCTTGCAAACCTTTGTGGTTCTGTTTACACTCCAAATCAGTAGTTCTTATACTTTTTGGCCTCAGGATCCTGTAATACATTTATAAATTATTGAGAATCCCAAATAGCTTTTGCTTATGTAGATTATGCCTATTGATATATGCTATACTACAAATTAAAACCAAGAAATTGTACAAATATTTATTAACTTAAAATAACAATAAACTTATTACATATTGATATAAATAAATAACATTTTTAATGAAAAGTTACTATTTTCAAAAAATATGAGAATGGCACTATTTTACTTCTTTGCAAATCTCTTTCATGTCCATGTCTTGCTTAAAGAAAGACAGCTGGATTATCTACTTCTGCATTCGCTCTGCTGTGATATGTTGTCTTTTGGTTGAAGTATACAGAAAGTCTGTCCTCACACAGGTATGTAGTTGGATAAGGAAGGAGTATTTTAACCACCTCTTCAGAAAATTGTGTTAATTTTTCTTTGATACCACACCAAAACTCGACATGTGGCCATTTCTCAGAAGTTAGTTGTAATGTGGAATCTGAACTTTTCATCTTGTATTACATTAAAACCCACTGGTGAACTTACTCTTTTCTTTTTGTTTTGTTTTGTTTTTTTAATTTTATTTTAATTTATTTTTTTCAAATACATTTGTCTCTGCCTACCCCCCACCACTTTCCCTTGCCCCCTCCCTCCTTCCCTCCCTCAGCCCTTCCCCTTTGGTTTTGTCCATGAGTTCTTGCTGTATGTTCCTTGACTTTCCCCTTCCCTTCCTTTTCCCCGCCCCTCCCTTCCCTCTTGTCTCTGTTGATTTCTTTTCCTTTCAGTGTTGCTGGTCTTATTTTCCTTGCATCTTTGTATTGTTGGTTAGGTTCCACTTATAGGTGAGATCATATGGTATTTGTCTTTCGCCCCCTGGCTTATTTCGCTTAGCATAATGCTCTCCAGTTCCATCCATGCTGTCGCGAAGTTTAGTAGTTCTTTTTTTCTTTCTGCTGCGTAGTATTCCATTGTGTATATGTACTATAATTTTTTGATCCAATCATCTACTGATGGGCATTTAAGTTGCTTCCAACACTTGGCTATTGTAAATTGTGCTGAACTTACTCTTTGAATGATCTTTTACTCATGCACAATTTTCTAAAATCGCACTTTGGTCACTTGGAAGATATGGTTCTCTGGGTTATGCTGATCTTCCAAATGCTGACATAATGCCTTATAACATAATGTCAAAAATCACATTTATTAATACTATCACTGATCTCATCTGAAAATCTTTAAGTAGTGGGAAGCTGTCCAGGTCACAGTGCTGAATACAAGCTTTTTTCTAATTTTGAAAGCTCAAATTTTATTGTGGGCCACAAATACTGTTGATTGTTTTTCTTGCGGTGATGGTCTCACTTATGATGGGACTGGGATACCTGCCATCACTTACAGATAGGCTTTCGGGTCACCTGCCTTGTATCACAATACCAGGGCAGAACAAAGTGTACCCCAGAAAAATGTCCCAATAATAGCCCAAGGAAGGTATCTTCTGATATGCCTAACTTCCAAGAAACAAGAGTAAATAATGTGGGGTTGACTACTAGTTATAACCCAGTGTGAAAAAAAGAGATACTCAGAATAGCTAACAGGCATGCATTAGCATCAATACATATAAAACCTATAAGCTACCATTCTGAAGTTGCTAGCTGGTTGGTGGTGAACTTCAGAAACATTCCTTTAAATGTAAATCTAGACCATATGGCAAACACTACATAGACAAATTAATGCTTGAGAACAAGGAGCGAAAACTGGAAAGGAAACTATAAAGGGAAGCTTGGAAGAAACATCTCGCAGCAACAAGTGTGACTTCTAAAGGGAAGCTATCACACTTCATTGACCACATTTGGAGCTACTTCTGCCTGGGGAAAGCCAATTGGGTGGAAAAGATTAGGAGGAAAGAGGGGACAAATGGTCCGCACTGCTCCCAGTTGTGCTCTAAGCAATCTTTTCCATCAGCTAACAACAATGCAAGCAAATGGGGGAATCTATAAAAGCATGCCACATGATAAACAAACTGCAGAGACTGAAGATTGGAAGCAGAAATCAGCTAGTGGTAGAGAGGGGTTGGGAATGTGAACAGTCCCGGTCCTCTAGTTCTATCCCAGTTCACCTGAGAAAGTGCCCTACACCAGGAGAGACTGCAGCCAGAGAAAGTTTTACCAGTAACAAACTCCAAGAGAAGCTTCCATGCTCTCCTTGGGCAGTCACAAGGGACAGCATAAATCTAGGTCACACAGGATCCCTCAGTTAAGTCATACCCGGACCCACAAGGGAACACAACAAGGGTGATAACGAAGCTTGAGTAATAAACAGAAGAACTGCAAACGGTGGGGGTGTTAAGATCCCAAGGGAAAGTCAGGGGTGTGCTGAGATTGGGGACCTAATTAGAGAACTCAATGGAATAGAAATGCTCCTCTGAATCTTCTGATTAGAGTGGAGAGCACCAGATAGTGAGCATAGCTTCAGAGTGAGATCCTCAATTTTATCTAACATTTGGGGAAACTGAGGCCCAAATAGGGCCAAACTCAGTGCAGATGAGCCTTGGGATTCAGTTTCCAGGGATGAAATGTAAGACCTTCTTAGGAAATACAAAGCAGGTCTCCTCTTCTCCATCAACCCCTTAATTTTTTTAAGTGCAGGAAAAGTTATTCCTCCCTCCTCCCACTTCTTCAGCCAAATGAACTGGCTATTTGGTGATAGGGACAGAAGTCTCGGGGAGACTCTGTAAAGGAGGCACCCAATTGGACCTGAAGTATCTGAGATTCTAGGACGGATGACCCATGGTTCTAAAATACGAGAATATTCTCTAAGTTTTTCTTATGCTCATGTTTTACTCAGCATGAGTTGGTCCAGCCTTCTAGGACCAATACAGCTTAAGTGAACAAAGAATAAGAAACAGACTACACAGTGGCAGGCAAAGAGCTCAAATCTCAGCACTGTTAATCACCCAATCTCTTTATATCTTATTTTCATCTATGAAGTGGGGGAATTGGTCAAATGGAGAGCAAAAGTAACTCCAAGGGCCCTGACTGATATGGCTCAGTGGATTGGGTGTTGTCCAGTAAAGCAGAAGGTCACTGGTTCGATTCCAAGTCGAAGCACGTGCCTGAGTTGCAGGTTCAGTCAGTCCCTAGTTGGGGCGGCCAATAGATATTTCTCTCTCACATCAATGTTTCTCTCCCTTTCTTTCTCCCTTCCTCCCCTTTCTCTAAAAATAAATAAATAAAATCTTTAAAAAAATAACTCCAATGGAGACTATGTTACTGATACAGGACTTAGGAATTTGAATATCCCCCAGGAGGGCAGAAGAAACAGCTACTTACGTTGTGCTGCTGCTTTCCCCATATCGCTGGTAGGAGCCTGGGGAAGAGAAGTTGTTCAGACCTTCGGATGGGCTCTCATCCGGGCTCACATCAGTGGAGCTGTAGTCAGGGTAGTCCTCATTCCGAAGTCTCTGTGTGGACATGGTAGCTGTGGGGACAGGGTCGGCGGTAAGAGCTCCAGTGGCTGAAGCCTTTAGCTCCAAGCCTGCAGTGGGCTCTGGGGCAGAAGCAGCCATTGTCACAGTAGCTCAGTGCTGACTGTACTATGGATTAAGTACAATGTGAGAGAGCTTGTATTTATGAAAATGAAAAAGGTACAAAGGTCATTTGGGCAGGCTGCGCTGACTCAGCTTTTACCTCCCAGCCTCCCCAGTTGATGCCACACTCATTTGTTTCTAAATCTGCTGGACAGAGCAGAGGTGATGCATACTTGGAAGGGGTGGGGGAATATACAGACAGACACTTGCAGGAAGACCTCCCTTCCTTAGGTCGGAATTAACAATCCCTCCCTTTGAGCTAACTTCTTGGACCTTGAACAGTTAGATTGTATCTACTTCTAACTTTCCCAAGAGCAAGCTCTCAGAGGAAAGGAAACTGAATCTTCTTAACTGTATCCTATTTTTCCTCTCCATTCATTAGAGAAAAAACCTTGCTGGATTCAAGAAGTACCCTCCAGATCCTCCAGTTCTGCTCAAACATCCCAGCAGATCCCAGAGCCAGAAGTGACGTCTTTCTCTCTGCCATGACCTCTGGCCTAATCCTATACTCTTTAGAGGTCATCAGTGACTCTCATCCCTTGACCCTAGGATTCTTTTCTTGCAGCCAAGCCTGACTGCTGAAAAACGGCAGCTGAAAGAACAGAGGAAGACCAGGAGCAGGCGAGGTGTTCACCACAGGCCCATGTCTCAGCAGCTCCCCTCCACAACCTCGCTTCCTTTTTATTTTCACAGATTTGCCAATCCTTAAAAGATGGTGAAAGAAGAAGCCCTTCCTGTTGTGTGCTGGGGAAGGACGGTGAGGGTGCTATCCCTTGGCTAGACCTTCTCAGCAATGGTACTACAGAAAGGGGAGTGACTTCTCTAAAATACGTAATAAAGATACATTTTGGGAGTTGCATAGGCTCCTATGATCCTAGAGACTTGCTAAAAGAGCCCTCAGAAGTCACTCCAACTGCTCATTTTACAGACGAAGATCAACCCCCCAAAAGGTGAAGGGACCTGCTCTGCTACAGCCAGGTAGCAGCAAGGCAGTAAACTTACCTCCCGACACTCTGCCTGAATCTGGAAACACCTACTGAATATAGTGCCAGCTGCAGTGAGGGAATATTGTAATGAAAAAGACTCAACTTTCTGCCCTCCAAGAATTTGCAACCAAGTGAGGAAAAAGGTAGCTGAACATTAAAAATCACAAATAAAAGTCCATCTGACACCTGGCAGACTGGCACAACTGCCTGCCCCTTAGGGGCTCTCTCCCAGCATGTGGCTGGCTGCCCACCCTGAACCTGATGTGCTACCTCAGAGACCTGTGAGGAGACAGGCTTCCTACGGCCACTGCAACATGCCATCTGCCTGACACCCAGCACTAGCTGTCAGAGGGTAGCTCTGTGCTGAGTGCGCCCACAGGACCAGTCCCAGGGGACTTTTCAGAAACTGTCCCCACCCTGGCACCTGAGTGGTCCAGGGTAACCTCATTTTCTCCCACCAATTGAAATGGAGGTGGGACCCCATGTAATGTCCCAAGGGAAGTGCTTGGTAGAAAGTCAGTAAAGGGCTTGGAAGTCCCAGAGAGGATCCTGCCTAGCTTCTTTGCTAGGTATCTAAGAGGGTGTCAATCACTCACATCCTGGAGGAATTCAAGAAAGTCAGCTAGATCTGGGGCAGTTAAACTCATGACGGGGCCAGGGGGGGAAATTATGAAGTAGTTGAAAGCTACCATTCGGGCCAAAGTTAATAAGCTAGTTGGTATGTAATTTGGAAGACCTAGGCTGCCTCTATCACTGGTTTGCTTAGCAACTTGGAACAATTCTCTTTATATGTCTAAGGTCTTTGTTCCAAACATGCAAAAAGGAGAGAAGGTGAACTAAAATCTCTCTCAGCAACCCTCTAGCTCTAATATTCCAGGAATCAACTAATGTAATTATTTATGCAAACAACAGCTAATTTCTAGTCTTCTCCAACATACCGAAAGTGTCTGAGGATAGGGCCTTCCAAGTGAACCCTGTCATGTTACTGAGGGAGAAGGGACGGTATATACAGGGACTGACATTTCCCCAATCCCTCCCCATTAACTGAGAAACCACTGTGTTGCTTACTTGGTACAGATGCTCAATTCATTTCAAATACTGTAAAGGTGCCTTTTTATGCTGTGTATAAAAACTGAAGTTACCCACAGCAGATTATTGCTAAAAACAAAAACTACTCAAAAAGAAGCTGACATCTATAGATCTGAAGTCCAAGAAACAACGGCAGGATGTGGGAGGTGTGGCTTGGCAATGGCATGAAAAATGCTACGTATGGGTTTTAGCTGATAAGCTTAACAGAAGTCAATGATATAATAACAGATATCAAAAAAGCCAATGCCATCCTAGGTTGCGCTAGGACGAGAGACACCCAGGTAGATGACACATATCACTGTGCAGTTTTGCGACACATGATATTCTGTTCCAGGTAGCAACTAGAAAGACAACAATGGCAAACTGTGGTACAGCCAGGGGTTAGCACTGGGATCAGGAAAGGGATGGACACCAACTAAATAAGGAATGGTTGGAAGCACTAAGAAGGCTCAACCTGGAGAACTGGCAACTTGGGAAGTATTAAAACTGCCTTTAAAAACTACCCTAGGGATAAGACTGGTTCTGCGGGGGTTCAAAGGTCAGTCAGAAAGAGGATCAGTAGGTGGAATGTAAATGGAGGCCAGCCTTTGGCTAGACATAAGGAAGAACCTTCTACCAAAAGGAGTTGTCCAGCTGGAATAGTTCACTCTGGGAGATAGTGTGTTTCCCCATCCCTGGAAAAGTTCAAGCAGAAAACCTTCTCAGAGGTGTTAAGCGAGGATTCAAGCATGATAGAGGGTGGGTGCAGCCAGTCCCTGAAGTTCCTTCTGGCAACTAAGTCTTCCTCCTCTTGCTTTCTAGCTGTCCCCACTGAGTGCTAGCCTCCAAGGTCACTCTGCCCCTGGCCTCCCTTTGATGAAAACTAGTTTCCAAGTCTATTGCTGCAACTGCCAACTCCTGCCATGTGGAAGGGTTTTTTTTGTTTGTTTGTGCTTTCAAGGTGCTTTTTATTATTATTATTATTATTACATTTAATTTGTGTATTAGAAGAAATTGATATATACTTGTGGATGATAGGAATAGTAATTATAGCAAAACTACTTTAAAAATTTATTGATTTTAGAGAGACAGGAAGGGAGAGAGGAGAGAGATGGGGAGAGATGGGGGAGGGAAGAGAGAAAGAGATTTGTTGTTCCACTTATTTATACATTCACTGGTTGATCCTTATATGTGTCTTGACCAGGAATCAAATCCACAAGCTTGACATATCGAGACCATGCTCCAACCAACTGAGCTACCCTGCCCGGGCTAAAAAACATTTTTATAACATGTTTTACAAATTGCAAAGCACTCTCACATATATAATCTTATTAATTTTACTTCTCTTTTATTGAATGTACTGAAGTGACATCAGTTAATAAAACCAAATGGGTTTCAAAATTAAAAATGTTTGTGTCTCAAAGGACACCATCAAGAAAGTGAAAGATAACCCACAGAATGGGAGAAAATTTCTGCAAATTATATTTTTTATAAGAGACTGGTATCCAGAACATATAAAGAACTATTATAACTTAATTAAAAAAATAGACAACCCAAATAAAAATGGACAAAGGATCTGAACAGATATTTCTCCAGAGATGTGAAAATAGATAATAATCACATGAAAAGACACTCAACATCATTAGTTATCAGGTAAATGCAAATTAGAAAACCACAATGAGATGCCACTTCACAGTCGCCAGGATGGCTAAAATAAACACAGATAATAACCAGCACTGGCAAGGCTGTGAAGAAATTGGAACCCTCTTATACTATTGGTGGGAACGTAAAATGGTGCAGTTGTTTGGAAAACAGTGTGGCAGTTCCTCAAAAGGCTGCATGTACTTACCATATGACCCAGCAATTCCATTCCTAAGTACATATTAAAATGAAACTATATGTCCACAGAAAACTTGTACACAAATATTCATAGCAGCATTATTCCTCATAGTCAAAAAATGTAAATAACCTGATAAATGGATAAAAGAAATACTGTATCTCCATACAATAGTATATTAATCAGCAATAAAAAGAAATGAAATACTGACACATGCTACAACATGGATGAAGCCTGAAGAGATTATTCTAACCAAAAGAAGTCAACCACAGTGGACCATATATTGTATGATTTCATTCATGTGGAAATCTAGAATAGGAAACCCGACAGAAAGTAGATTACTGGTTGCCCAGAGTTTGGGATAGGGAGTTGGGAGTGATTGAGGGGTGATGGTTAAGGGGACAGTTTCTCAGAGTGGTTGTGGTTTTGGTCCCACAACTCTGTGAATATACTAAAAGCCATTGAGTTGTACACTTTAAATGGTTGAACCATATGCTATGTAAATTATATCTCAATAAAGCTGCTAAAAAAAACAACTCATACAGATTTCTGGGCCCAATCTGACTCAACCTGAGCACTTTATTTTTTAATCAGCCAGATCATCTTGATTACAAATAGATTTATAAAAAACACAAGAAACAACTATGTCTCACCATAATGGATATACCTCAGACCACACCTCCTACCGGAGTTCATGGGTTGGTGTTATATGCAGTCTAAAGGTGTCATCCATTACTCTGAAACAATTACCCCGGGTTGGTCTTTGGAACCCAGAGAAGTGGCAAATTCTCTAGATGCATTTTCTCTTCTCTTTTCCTGGAATTCAAAGACACAAACAAGGACACAGACTGTGCTGCTATGTGCAGTAGTCTATAGGGAGAAAAATGAAAATTTCTGACTGCCATATGATTTATTTTTATTTTTAAAAAGATTTTATTCATTTTTATTATATTTCATTGATTATACTATTAAGTTGTCTTGATTTTTCCCCCTTTGCCCCCCTCCACCCAGCACCCCCCCACTCCCTCAGGCAGTCCCCCCACCACTGTTCATGTCCATGGGTCATGTGTATAAGTTCTTTGGCTACTCCATTTCCTATGCTGTACTTTACATCCCCATGGCTATTCTGTGATTACCTGTTTGTACTTCTTAATCCCCTCACCTCTTCACTCATTCCCCACACCCTTCTCCCATCTGGCAACTATCAAAATGCTCTCTGTATCCATGATTCTGTCTCTGTTCCTGGTTGCTTGGGGTTTTTTAGATTCAATCGTTGGTAGACATGTATTTTTTGCCATTTTATTGTTCATAGTTTTGATCTTTTTTTCTTAAATAAGTCCCTTTAACATTTCATTTAATAATGGTTTGGTGATGATGCACTATTTTCTTTCTTGTCTGGGGGGCTCTTCATCTGCCCTTTGATTCTACATGATCGCTTTGCTGGGTAGAACAATCTTAGCTGTAGGTCCCCGTTTTCCATGACTTTGAATATTTCCTGCCAATCCCTTCTAGCCTGAAAGTTTCTTTTGAGAAATCAGCTGGCAGGCTTTGGGGAACTCCCCTGTAAATAACTTCCTTTCTCTTGCTGCTTTTAAGATCCTCTCTTTATCTTTAACCTTTGGCATTTTAATTCTGATGTGTCTAAGAGTGGGCCTATTTGCCACATGATCTATTTTTAAAGAGCATCAGACAGGACTCCCTCTAACCTATGACAAAAGTACACTCCATAAATTGAAACTCCTGCCTGAAAGACACTGGTATTCAGGGCAGCCACAGAAGAGCTGCAGAGCTCAGCCATTCTGTACAGAAGGAGCTGATTAAGCAAACACACTCACTCTTTACCTACATTCATAAAAATCATGAAGTGTTAGGACTAGGTGTGACTTGCAGAAGACTGAGCTCTAGCTTCCCATTTAGAGGTGAGAGAACCAAAGCCCCAGCTCAATAAAGACTTGGGATTAGAACCCAGCCTACTAGTCTCAGTCCAAAGTTTTTCTACCATACCATAAATGATCTACCCTCTCTAAAACCTCCCTCAGAACGAAAACTAGATAGGATTGGGTCTGCTGAGGGAATTCTGCATAATAAAAAGTACATAAGTTCAGAGCTTAGTTGAGTGACCTTGAGTAATTTAATCTCTCTTTGCCTCAGTTTCCTCATCTGAAAAATGCTGTTAATACTACCTACATAACAATACTGTTAAAAAGATAGAAGGAAAAGATGTTAAACATACTGCTTGGTCCCTAATGGACCCTCATTAATGGTAGTAAGTGTAATGATTACTGCAGAGAAGTTCAAGGATAGGAAGTCAAAAAGTTCACTATAGAAATTAAGTATTGCAGTACTTCCTCCATTCCATCACTCTGGAGTGCTGAGCCAGGTCTCCAACATGAAAGCAGTGATCTATGTGCCATGAGCCTCCTAGTAAGCCAGGCAGACAGATTCGTGAATTCCATGGGAAAGGGAAGCACAGAGACATCTTTCCTACTAGGGAGGGTCATTGACAACTGGCCCTGGGCTTCCAAGGGAAATGTCTGGGAGATAAAAGAGGAGACAGCACCAAACGCAGCACTGTGTGGTTTCTATTTGGGTATATTCATAATTCCCATCCACTAGATCCACACCCTTTAAACAGAGGTTAGATTTGTCTGCTCAGACCCAGCCAGTAAGGCCTGGAGGAAGGAAGGAGGTTCAGGATTCCTCTCAGGCCTGGACGGAGGGAAACAGACTCAATATAAGTGTCTTTCATTTGACAAAGAGAAAAGCTATGTGTTAGACATCAGTTGGTCACCCACCTCTGGAACGTGTTATCAGGACCAGGCTACCAAAAGTAGATCTCAAAGTCCTGCCTGGTGTGGCTCAGTTGGTTGGAGTGTCACCCCATATACTGAAAGGTCACAGGTTCAATTGCTGGTCAGGGCCACCTGGATTGCAGGTTCAATCCCAGGTCAGGGCATATATGAAAGGCAACCAATTAATGTTTCTCTCTCTCCCTCTCTCTCTCCACCTTCCTCCCTCCCACCCTAACTCGCTCCCTCTCTTTCCCTCTCTAAAATCAATGAGCATGTCCTTGGGTGAGGATTAAGAAAAAAATCCAAAAGTAGACCCAAAAGAACTCAACCCAGTTCTAGGACCTTGCATCAGGTCAAGGTGGGAAGGAAAAATGTATTAATAGCAATGACTTCAGCATCTGACCCTTGACGACATAAGAATTTAAAGAAGCGATACTCACTGGTAGGGGAAGGGGGTGTTAAAAAGAAAAAAAGAAAAAGCAGGAGTTCTTAACATGAGAATAGTTATACGAAGCAAGAGGGAAAATTAAACATTCCCAAAAGTGGGCACCTATCTATTCCACTCCCTATCCCGCATGCTAACGAATTGAGTCCTCGAACTGCACAGAACCTCTGAATTGGAAGAAAACGTAAAACTTTACTCCAGCACAATAACTTAACCTACAGCAGCCCCAAAAGTAATTGCCCAGTGACAATGAGCCCCAGGGACAGGGACCTCCATGCGCTGTATTGCCGTGTGAGGGAGCGCGAACTCTCTCAACGTCCTCATGCCCCCCCAAAACCAGTTCCCGTGCGGCACTTCCAGCCCCTGGTCCTAGTTTGTAATCTCTGGAATGCTGCAAAAGAAAGGAATCCACCACCTGACACTGCCTTTAAACTAGGAGGGGACAGCCTGAGCACGTCCAGCCGCCTCAGGGACGGGGCTGAGTGAAGAGCCAAGGGAAGAGAAGAACCCGCCATCAACGGGGCGACCAGAACACAAAGCGGGAGAGACTTGCTACGGCCATCAGGGCAGCCTCGGGGGCCTCCAGCCTGCACCCCAGACCGCCAGCCTCGGACACGGGGCCACTGACCAAGCCTTTTGTGTCCCCTCACGTCTCGACTTCAAGGACATCTTTAAAGAACATGTGCTCTATATGTACAAGTTGATTACTGTCGACTAGTCTCTTGACAAGAGTCAGAGTCGTATTTAAAGGAAAAACAGAAACAAAAAAAAGACGGTGAAACTCGTGTTCGGCTGTCATGACGTAGCTTGGCCATAACACACAGAGAGAGAGAGAAAAAGCCGAGGATTTCACGGCGACCTCGAAAGAAATGAGGCAAGGAGGCCAAGGGCTCGCTGGGAACGGGATCGAGTCCTCCGGCAACGCGGACGCTAACGCCCCCGGGAGAGAACAGGCTCTCCGGTTAGAAAACAGAGCGGACGCGGAGGCTGTCGGAACGGAGGCGGCCCTCGGGGATGCCACGCCGCCACCGCGCAGGCCGGGAAACCCCAGCCCGGCGCGGACGCGAGTCGCCCCGGCCGCCGCGCCAGCCGTCGGAGCCGGCACGGGAGCCGCTCAGCCCCACTCCCGGCTCCTTCCCGCGTCACCGCGCCGGCGTCTCATTCCGGGACGCCTCCGGAGCTCCCCTCAAACCCCCACTCGGGCCATCGCTAGCCCCAAGCCTGGCGGCCCCAGGAAGAAGCAAGCCCGCACCTGCCAGCGCTCCCCGTCAATGCCAGGGCTCCCCGCCCCTCAGCCGGGCGCCGCTGCCCTGCCGGGAGCGCCCTCCGGCTCCTACTTCCCGCTCTGGCCGGGCTGACAGCAAAACTGCACGGCGGCCAGAAACACAGCCTCCGGAATGGTGAGTCTGCAGAAAAAAAGCGCCCACAGTAAGCGGGGCGCCACGCCCAGAGCCGATCCGAGGGGTGGCGGGGAACGCAGAGCGGGAAAAGGGGAGAAGGACGACAGAGAAGGGGACAGGGACGGGGCGCCTTCCACGCGTCAAGTTTCCTGCCGGGGGCGATGCGGTGCAGAGGTGACAGCTGCCGAGCTCAGGGAGACCTGGCTTCTGCGCGCAGCGCTGCGACTCGCTCCCTGGGCGGCCGGAGGCCAGCCGCTGCCCCTTCCCGGGCCTCGGTTTCCCCGACTGTCCCGGGGGGGGGGACGGGGAGGGGGTCGGTGCACCACAGGACGTGCAGCGTCCCTGCGGGTCTGGTATTCTCGCACCCAACGACCCGCAGTTAGCCGGTCCCCAGCGAGCGGCTCCGCCGACGGCCGGCGGCCTGCCGGAGACGGCCGCTCCTTTCGAGAGCGTGTCAGGAGCCCCGGCCGCTCGTCTGGGCGCTGTTGCCCAGCTCCGGACCTCCGTTGCCCCCCTGTCAAATAGGACAGGCAGGTCAAGGGAAGAGAGCGTGAGGGACACGGGAGTCTCCGGGCCGCCTCATCCCAGGAGGGGTGGCTGCGGGGCACCGCCACGGAGGCCGGGGAGCACGGGGGACTCGGACCCGCATCCAGGTGGCCGGTGCCTGACCCTGAGCATCCGCGGCGCCCCTGAGGAAGGCGCTGGCTGGCCTCCAGGCACAACCTGTCAGCGAGCGGACTCACCGCTCGGGTTCCGGTTCCGGCTCCGGCTCCGGCTTGGCTCCAGCTGGGACTCCCGCGTCAGTGCCGTGCACCTCACCCCGCCTCACCGCGGAGGTCTCTCCATCTCTCTGGGCTGCCCCGCAGCCGCTTCCGGGCCGCCTCACGTGACCCAGGCGCCCAAACCGGCAGCCCCGGTCACAAGCTCCCGCGAGCCGAAGCTCCTCCCCTCTCGCGGGGCCCTAGAGCGTGGCTGCGCAGCTCCCCCTGGCGACCTACTGTTGGCACTGCAGCGAGGACCGTGTTCCTGGGGGCTGGAAGCGGGAATGGGGTGGTGTGTTACCCTCAGAGCATGCGCAGTGAGTCCCGAGTTGAAGCACCCTGTACCCTGAGTGTGGAGTCGCTTTTATCTTGGATTTATTTTCTTTACTATGTCCCAATGACCACATATTGCTTTTATAAGAAATTGATAATACATCTTCTGAAAAGTCATCCAATTGCCCCAGCTGGTGTGGCTCTGTGGATTGAGGGCCAGGCTGTGAAGCAAAAGCAATGGGTCGCCAGTTCAGTTCCCAGTCAGGGCACAGGCCTGAGTTGTGGGCCAGGTCCTCAGTAGCGGGTGCTTGAGGGGCAACCACACATTGATGTTTCTCTCCTTCTTTCTTCCTCCCTTCCCCTCTCTCTATAAATAAAATCTTTTTAAAAAAATAGTCATCCAATCATACTTTAAAAGTGTACACAAACTCATTTGTTGTTGCTGTGTATTTGGGATTGATGTGCCCTGTGACCATTTTTTTCTATTCAAAATAATAGGAACTTAGTTATCAGTTAATGTGCTTGAACAGATCATCAAATTTTTAGGAGCATATGACTGATATTAAGAAGAGTTTTTTTCTTTTGGTTTGGTTTGGGGTTTTTTGGTTGTTGTTTTTGTTTGTTTGTTACCCAACAAGTAGGTATTCTGTTGGGGTGGGAGGCTCCTAATGAAGACTCTGATTCAACTCAAGTTAAAGTAGCTGGGAAACAAAAGGAGATTGTATGAAAAAGATCCTGAGAACTTTCATGGGACAGCCAAGTCCCACGAAGGATCCTAAGGAAGTCAGGCTTTAGGAGCAGCATAAACCCAGGAGTTAGACCCCATCAGGGTTTCAGATGTTTCTGTTCAGGTTGGCTCTATGCATTGCATTCATTCTTTTCTCTTGATGCCAGCCGGCTCTGTCCACGGCTCTTGAGTTTTACATTTTACCATTTGAGGCACCAGAGACTAAGCTGGTGTCTGTCTGGTTCCAAAAATCCAGGGAAGGGATTCATTGGTTCAGCTTGAGTCAGGTGCCACCCTTGAACCAAACAACTGTAGTTAGGGAAAGTGTCCAGAGAAATCATAACTGATACAGAGGGGTCAGGTCACCTCAGAAATGTGAGGGGAGGGTTGCTGAGGAGCTAATCCCATGGACATCTATGGCAAGCCTTGAAGAAAGAAAAAAGAAATCAGGGATAAAGGTCAGGCAGTCTAACTTTGCAGCTCATAAACCCGGTGACCTGGTTAAGTCCCACTTTTATATGGGACTAATAATTCCTCCCTTGTTATGCCATGTGGTGTAAAACTACTGGTGAGAACTCAGTGGTTCTTAGAGAGGAAGCAGAGTGAGTTTAGTGGATATAAGTATAGAATCCAGAGCAGTGGTTCTTCCGGGGGTGGGGGGTGGGGGGCAGGGGGATGGTGATTCCCCCACCTCCCCCTGCCAGGGAACAGAGTTGCCTGAACAATTATTCAGAGCTGATGTCCCCACAGGGCTGATTCTGAGACACAGAATCACATATCACAGATAGCTGGAGCTGGAATAAAGGATGAGTACATAGAGATTTCTCTAGACCGCAAAGTCATACCACAAATAAAGAAATAGGTTTCTTCAGTCCTGGTGCCAGTACAATTTATATTCCTATTTCATCCTTTGGTTAGGAGCTGTTGTATATTCAGCGTGTAAGATACTCTTCCCGCTAGCCCCCACCCCTGCCCCCAAGCAAAAGGAATCCAAAATTACACAAACCCTTCATTACTGCAGGAAGGGCACCTTCCAGACCTGAAATTAGGGTTGGAGCGCTCCCTAGTGGTCTGTGTACAGAAGCACAACTCCTTTAAAGACACCAGACATTTTAACTGTAACATCAATCAGCAGCACCAGCATCGTCATCATCATCCATGGACCACAAAGCTGCTCAGAGGAAGAAACTTTCCTGAGCGTGAATAGGATTCTCAAGTATAGATGGCTGGACTAGAGCCCTTTAAAGTCTTTTCTGTAACTGATATTGTTATAATTCTTATTATTGATATATATTCATATTATTGGTATAATTTACCTTATCAATATACTGATATTGGCATAATTCCTTGTACCTATAGTTGCCATATCTTGGAGTTTGGAGTTTTTTCCTCTCTCTCAAGGTCTGTGATGGATGAGATGAAAGAATTTAGAATAATAAACAATGAGTAAATGGGGTCTTTACATAAATGGGGACCACTGTGTAATTATGGCCTCTCCACTCACAAGTTTTGCTTCTGGAAAACGAGATACAAGACTCTGCCCTGTTTCCAGTCATCCTATGCAGAAGGATGTTTGTGGTCATTACCCTATTCAGAAGTCTTGGGACCTTGGACCACCTTAAGTTTCTGGGGCCACCACCTATACAAGAACCATCTGAAAACTGTCCAGCAGCTGGTGAGTGAGCTCAGGCCTCAGAGCCATAAGGATAACATGCAGGTGGGGCTGGCTTAGCTTAACTTTATGGCCCCAAAGGATAGAAGATCAGCCCTGGCTTGTGTGGCTCAGTGGATTAAGTGCCGGCCTGCGGATCCAAAGTTTGCCAGGGCTGTGGGCCAGGTCCCCAGCTGGGGGCATGAGAGAGGCAGCCGACTGCTATTTGTCTCACACATCATGTTTCTCTCCTTCTCTTTTTCCCTCCTTTCTCTTCTCTCTAAAAATAAATAAACAAAACCTTTAAAAAAGAACAGAAATTCACATTCTTAATCTAATGTATAAACGATAAGTATTTAGAAAAATATAATGTGGTAACTTAGTTTTCTGAGTAACTCACACTGATCATTAAGAAAGAGAAGAAAGAATAGCAAGTATTTATCAAGTGTTCCCCTGCACCAAGTGATGTATACACACATTTCATTTGTTTTTTGTCGCAGCCCCATCTACCACCTGGAAGACAGAGTACCGGTCAAGGAATCCTGACATGATTTGACCACCTTCCCGAGCTTCATACACCACAAATTCATATTCCATGTGAGAGGCTCTTAACCTGGTGATGACTAAGTGTTGTGGGAACTCAGAGGGAGGGGAATTAATTGTGACCAGGGAACAGAGAAGCGTTGCAGAAGCCTCTGAGACTTGAACAACTTCAAGCTGGAATGTGAGAGGTTACGAATAGAGGGAAAAGACATTCTTGGCAGGGGAACAGCACATGCAAAAGGCATTGGTTGTGAAGGTGTATTGTGTGCTCAGGGAATGGCTCTGATTGTCTGCTATGGTTGCAATGCTGAGCAGATGGAGTGGAGGCAGAGGGAGGGACCTTTGTGAGAAGAGGTGGTAGGAAGTTGGACTTGATATTCAATGGGTTTTGAATCCCAGCCTCAAGTTTGGAACCCTTTCCTGTGGGCAATGAAATGCCATTAAAGGCTTTTTGAACATTACACTGATTTAATTACTAATCTTTTCTCTGTCTTATGTCCACTAAAAAGCACTTTTATTTTTCCTATTTTTGGTTTTAAAAAAATGAGTCCTATATGGCTAGCATGTCATGATCACAGTCTTTCCAAGGCCATCAGATGCAGCCCCTGCCTTTTAGCAGATACAGAGTGTGTCCCCAATTGACAGATGCGGCAAATGAGGTTCAGGGAAGTAAAGTGACCTAGATAGCTAGTGGTAGAGGTTGAGTTAGGATTCAGATCTCCTGAAACTTAGGCCAGTTTTTCAAACATACACATCATGTACTCTCTGACCTCACATACATTCAGTTATGGAAAAGAGAGAGCACACTATTTCTAAAGTGCAGGCAGTTTTACCCATCATCCCACTCACTGAATAGCTGTCCCTGCAGGAGTTGAGATGGGAAACGTGGCTCTACCACCTTCTCTGTAAGCCCTGGTCCCTCTCATGCCCTCCCTGGAGTGAGGCTCTCACCACTCTTAAGTGAGATTCTAGTGCCAAGAGGTATGTGTGTCATTTTTCCTACTATATGGCCTCTGAACACATTCTTGTATTTTAGGGAGTTTAAGGGGTTATTCAAGGCAATTTTTGAGAATTCCCAGTTTCCGCTTTGTGTTCTGATATGACTGGTCTCCCTGCTGTCCCTCAGCAGGTCCTCCGGAAGCTGCTGGCATCTGCAGATGGGTCTAATGTGAAGACAACATTAGGCGGGGCTGCATGAACAGGAGGCACGGCCTTATTTAGTTCTCTATAATCTACTATCATCCTCCCAGAGGCATTTGGCTTTTTACTGGTTGCAATGAACTGTTAAAGCCATTGTGAACAGGGCATACAATGCCACATGGTGGAGTTCTTGGACAGTTTCCCCTGTTTCCCCTGTCCTCCTGGTAGTTGGTGTTGTTTGACCATTGCCATTCTCCATGGTGTCAGTAAACTAACAGGTTCCCACTTGGCCTTGCCTCTCAGGACTGATTTAATTACTTGTACTTGAAGGTGAAATTCTCCAATAGAGGTCTGTAAATTCTGCCCTTGCAAGGCATAAATGCCAGGTGTGTTCTCTGGGACCGGGGAAATGAAGGAAGACCTCATACTCTCGGAGGAGTCAGGGGGGAGAACACCCAATTTACAGAATGATGGGGACTTTCCTGACCATTACAATCTGACCTCCACAGCCATCCCTAGGGCCTGAGGGGGCCAGAGAGGTCTGAGAGTTACCATGTATTAGGGTACACAGAGCCACCGGCCACCAAAGCAGTGCTTATTTCTGGGAGACCAGTGAACAGTGAGTCCCACATCACTGAGTGGCCTTCAATCACTCCCTATGGCCCTCACCTAAGGATGACCTTGGCCTTCATCCTATACTTCTGGGCAGGGGAGGCACCCAACCAGAAATCCCAGAGAGCCCCTCTGGTATTAGCAGAGTGTCTAGTGGGGAGGGGGTGGCAAGAGCAGCAGGTGGTAACTTAGATTGTTCAGGTTTTAAAGCCTTCCATAAGCCTAATAATACTCTACTAGGCTGATGATCAGTTTTCTCTTGGGGCGCCTACAGCAAACAGGTCATGACACATTCGTTTTTTGGGTTATCTTCACAGCCCCTCACCCCCAACCCCTGCCTTCACTGTATTTATTTCTCCCATTTATTTCCCTCTATCTGAGTTCCAGTTCCTTCCCATGGCTCAGACATGCTCTCGTGATTGGTTTATTTCTCCTAGATCTACAATAGATTACCTGATGTCATAGATGTCCTGTCCCACCATGGGGCTTAGCACAGAAATAGTCATCATATACCATGTACTAGTGGCCATCTGCAACAACTTTGTTTCATTTCTACCATAATGTGGCCCAGTCAGGTCCTTAGATCATCAGGGCATAGATTACTTGGTGCATGCCCAGCTCTGTAAATACTGGTTGTACTTCCTCTATAGACTCCCTGGTCCCACAGGCCCAGGAAGGTCTCGCTCCTTTGGCCAAGCCTCCCCACATGATAGAATGATCCAGTCCATGAGAAGTTGTGTGCCACGAATTCCTCAGGCACCATGCAGCCGCTGTTGGAGAGCAGGGTGTGTTGTAATGTTACTCATGTTCTCTGACTCCTGACGGGTTAGGGAAATACCATCACTCCCTTTGTCCCATGGCCACATGAGCTAATGAGAATACTTTACCTGGCCTTTGCTGAAACTTGGCATCTCTGTTAATTGGTTCAGCAGATGTATGTTCTCTCACCATTAGTCTCTTGCTCGGGAGACTAAATTAATCAAACCCAAGGAGGGGGTTCTATGAGCCTCTGCTTTATAGCCAATTGGTCAGAAGTACAGGTAACAACCTGGACTTGATTGGCATTCTGAGTTGGAGAGAGTCGTTGGAAACTTCCATCTATAGCCGGCTGGCCCGAAGCACAGGTAAAGTCCTGGGCTTTCCTATTGGCGGCTGAAGTGGCAGGGGAGGCCTTGCAGGACTGAATACTTACCCTGTGGAATCTGATGCTATCTCTGAAATGTCAAAATTAGTTTCGAGCAAGGCACATAGCATAGACTCCATCCATGTGCGATGTTATTATCTAAGCAGGGGAAAGAGTATAGTAATCAGCCCCAGGCTATAAAGAGCTACGTGAGGGGGACAAGAATGAGTGATGAATTTTCATTTGGGAAGAGGTTTCATTGTTTCTGGAGTCTCCAACTTCCAGCCCCAGAAAGTACTTATGTTCATTTTCACCAGATTACACAACCTCAGGCAAAGCGTATCCCGGCTCTCTGCCTCAATTCTCTAACCTGTTAAAGAGGGGCGATTCTTCCCGCCCCATGGAGCAACAGAGCTGCAACTCCAGCCGGTGTCAGAACCCCCTGAGAACTTGGTGAAAACACAAAGGCCCAGATTCTCTCTGCTTCAGCGAGTCAGGGTCTCTCTACTGTGTCCCACCAGCTGATTCTGATACATACCAACTCTCCAAACTGCCATCAAAAGAATAAAAGAAGCAAGGCCCTCTGTTTAAAGGATCACAAACGAGTGTCATAATTACTTCAATCCCATTTGTTCCCTGCTCTATGAAGATGTCAAGTGGGTAGGCTGTCCTCACACAAATTGCATGTTCCTCAACCCCCGGGAGGCACAGGGGGATGAAAAGCATAGTTCCTGGGTCCTCAGTCTTTCGGAAGTCCTCTAGGATCTAGTGCCCCTTTCCCAAAGGACAAGAGGAGCAGTACCTTCCCCAGGGTCACAAGAACACGGTAGAGCTACAGTGGAACCCAGAGCTTCCTGTGCAGGGGCCAGTGTTTAGAGGAACTAATGTTGGAGGTCCCCCCCCCCCGGAAGAACCCCTCGTGCCTGCTGACAGGTGTTGCAGCAAGTGGGGGGTGAGCAGGCAGCGCCCTGCGCGCTTTCTGTTCGCTGACGCTGGAAAGGAACGCAGTCAAATTCTGGTATGCCAGCCTCTCGCCCGAAGCTTTGAAGGTTAGCTCAGAGTTCTTCTCACAACCTGGACAGGAAAGCAAGAACTAGCCTCATATATAAACATCTCAAGCTCCTTGACAATCTAGTTTACTGATTTTGTTGCCTGAGCAGGATCAAGGTCTGTCAGCAGGATGAGCCCCGAGTTTAGAATGGAATTACGCAATTTCAGTGCTGGGAATGAGCAGGCCACAGGATGCCGCCTGCCGCCCCACATGCCAGGAATACTGCCACACACTGGTGCCACACAAGTGAATAGGGGATGTTTCGCACACCCCAGGGAGGGTTTTGGTGGATTCAGGGCAAGAAACTTGAAGGGTGGGGCTAGGATTCAAACCAAGGGGTCAGGGTAGTGGTCAAGGCTGAGGGCTTCAGATATAGAAAGGTCTGGCTAGAGAAGTCAGGGTCTGCCAAGATTAGCTGTGACCTTGAATAAGCTATTCTTTACCCCTCTGAGCCTCAGTTTCCACATCTGTAAAAACAAAACAACAATGCTGCCCAGGGAAGTAGCCAGGCTTTGTGGAGCCTGAAGCTTATTCTATTGGGGCAGGGTTGGGGGAGCGGTAAGGGGTGGAGAGGGACTCTTTAAGGAAGAGAATACAAAATTACAAATTCAAAATTGCATACAGGACCTTAGAAAGGGTCCCACACAAGGGAGGGGACAAGACAAATCTGTCTCGGATGCTACCAGTTAGCTGTGAGATATTTCAGCAAAGCTCTTGGTACATGAGACGGTGGCACAGGGAGCGGTATGGCTTGAGTAAAAGGCTATAATTTGGAGGGAGGAGGAAACGTTGGCCCGCTCATCTGTCTGTTACTGAAGCGGAGATGATGACAGGGTGGAACACCAGAGAAACCCCCAGGGTCCTCTCTATCCGCGGTGTTCTATGGAGAATGACGAGTGTTCTTAGGCAAATCACACCCTCTCCTGGCCCAGCGTCCTGCCCAGTGAAATTTGACTAGGGGATTGAACAATCTCTGCCTTGCAACATCCCCATTTTTCCAAGAGGATTTCCACTACTCTCCCCTGGAGTCTCACGAAAGCTAAGACGCAGTGAGAAGTGAGTGAGTGATTGTTTCTTTTTTTCCAGCAATCTTCCAAGAAAGGAGACCTCCCAGAAGGACACCTTCTAACAGGCTTGCAGCCCTGCCCTGGGATGACTGGGGAGGTGGGGGGGGGGGGGTGGTATTCTCTTGGAATGCTGGAAGTAAGGGACTGGTTAAAAAATGTGAGGAGTTGGGCTCTGGTCCCTACTCTCACTGTCTAGGTATGTGAACTTAGGCAGGTTTCTTTAGTTCAGAGCCTGATTTCCTCATTATTAAATTTATAGGATTAAATGAGAACATATGGGTAAAGCACTTAGAAGAGTTAGCGAATAAATTTTAGTTAATAAATGTTAGCTATTGAAATGATCAGTATCACAGTCACCAATGCCATTACTATGGCTAAGTAAGGGGTGGATAACGACTCCCTTCCCAAATCCCTCCCCTCTTCTCCATCTTCTTCCAATCAGCTCCTCTTCCACAGCGTCTTAGACCAGGAGGAGCACCCTCTGGGGGAGGTGGGTGGGGCCTCACTCCAGTTTGGCCAGAACTCGCTAATAAGGGACAAGCCACTGAGTTGGGGTTTGCACCTGACCAGACACCTTCCTGCTTGCGTCCTTCTAACAGACTTCCTCATCGCCCGGAGGTCGCACTTTCTGCAGTGGTCATGCCTGGAACAAAGAGTGCCAGGGGTGCTCAGGAAGCCGTTGAGCTCAAACTGGACCTCAGGTCACCTCTCCAAAGTGCCGAGAAGCCGCAGAACAAGGACTCCAGTTTGTTGGATGGAAGCGCTTCTGAGTTGCCAGTCTTGGAGAAGACCAAGGGTATAACGTGAGTGCTCTTTCCTGCCGTCCCCATATCTGTCCTCCAGCCTGGAAGCTTGCATTGGCAAAAGCCCTGCGGTCAGGATGGGTGGGTGGGTAAGGTATCTGACCCCCCACCCTTTGCACAGACGGGGATACCAAGGTTGCAAAAGGGGCAGTTACAGGCTGAGCCGGACTGAGAGCTTAAAGGAACAGGAGTGGAGAGTGTCAGAAAAACCCTCAGAATATAGTGAACTAGCCTCCAACGCACGCAGGTTGAGAAACTGTGGCCTAGTCATCCCAGGCCATTCACTGGGGTCATTGGCAGGACGGGGGCTGGAATCCAGTGCTGGCCCTAAAGTCAGTTTTGCTCTTGGTAAATTTGATACTGTTGGGGAGAGGGGCAGAATCCCCACTGCTTGGAGGAGGAGATGAGACCTGCCTCCTTCCTGCAGTGACGCTGGCCTCTCCTTCAATGAGAATGGCCATGGTGTCATCAAAAGCACCATGTGGAAGAGTCCAGTTTCTTCCACCTCCCTGGGGTGTGTTTTGGGAGTGGGGGGTGGTGTGGGAGAGGATCGCTCACGAGGCTGTTAAACCATGACAAGGAGGGGTCTACGGCAAGTTTAGGCAGGGAAGCCAAGCTGCAAGCCTCCAGCTTCCATGGCCTTCGCCACTCAAACAGAGAAGCAAGTGCACTTAGGAAAAAATGGGTGGGGTGGCACGGCAGTGGAACCAACCCTGCTGCTCGAAGAAGGACGTTTTGACACCAGTGGTGTGTGAGAAAGAACACCTGCGTTCAAGCTGCGACTCTGCTCCTTCCCTCCTTCGAGCCTCAGTTTTCCCAGATGCAAAAACAGAGAAAAAAACAGTGGGAGTGTGAATTTAAAGAGGCTGCCCTTGGGAGTTAAATCTGAAGGGGTAGGAAGTTAGGGGTTGCAGAAAGAGGGACAAATTACTACAAGGATCAGGCAAAGCCCCTTTCCACTGCCACCCAGTTTAAGGGTGGATGTGGTAACCTTCCCATCTGTCTTAAAGAAAGGGTCTCAGGCTCCCGTTGCCCCAGGGCCAGTTCTGAAGGTTGCCAAGAATGCAGGATAACTGAGGGTAAGCTCTCTACTACGCCTTGGGCCAGCCACTGCCAGAGTTGGGGTATTTCTCAATCGGAGGCCTTCAGGGAGCCAATTAGCTCTTGTGTCCTTGAACTGACACACAGTTTGGTGGCAATTTCGGCTACTTAAGAATCAAAGAAACAAAGCAAGTGAGAACTAGAGGGCCCCTCTGGCTTGGAAGGAAGTAGTAAAACAGGTCTGGTAAGCATGGTACCTATGGGGTCAGCTGACTTGAGTTCCAATTCCCACTTAGCTGCTTACCAGCTTGAGCGAGTGACAGAACTTCTCTGTGCCCCAGTTTCTCCTCTGCGAGATGACAATGTGCTCCTCCCAGGATGGCTGCACGGGTGAATTGCACATAAAGCCACCAAGTGCCGTGTTCCTGAACTGTTAGCTCCTGTGAAGAGGATGCCAGTCCAAAGTCACCAAAGGAGTGAGGGCCAAAACCCAGGCTTCCTGCCTCCCAGCTCAGAGCTTTGCATGACTCACCACGCTGTGTTTCTAAGCCAGCCGAGTGGCCCAAAGTGAAATCCTGATTTCCTAAGTCCTTTAGTTAGAAATTTCCAAAGTGACCCACTGACTTTTTCCCAGTTGCAAAACAAGCACATCATTGGAGGACTACAGGGCACTGCCTGCTCCATCAGCAGTATTAACACCCACAGAGAGAGAGAAAGGCATGCAGGGACTTTCTCCCCGAATTGTTCTATTTAACCCTTGAATTAACGGGCAGATCCTCAGGAAGCTAGAGAAGTTAGGCCCTCACAAAGTGTGGGTGTTTGGAGAAATTATTTCAAAATACCATTCCTCCGAACATTTACAGAGATTCAGCAATGTGGGTACCCTTGCCCAAAATGACAGAGCTAATTAGGGAACAGCCTTGGGTTTTGATCCCTGATCTGTCCTAGCTCAGAGGCTGGGCTCCTTCCAGAATACTTCTGCTGCTCTTTACAAGAAGTCTCCTCCCCAGAAGGCTCTCCTAGGGCATTTCCCGGGTTTCTAAAGTTGAAGATGTAAATTCAATACTCACCTTGGTTTAACCTGGTCCAGAGGCAGAGAGGTATACAATAGGTTGTTTTGTAATTCATCCAAAGAGGGTACCTCCCTGGAATTTTGTCTCTAGAGGCAGAGACCTCGTCCTCTGGTCAGCCTTCCTTCGCATCTGTCGTACGGGAAGGGTCGGAGTGGTTCTGTGTGTGTTGAGGAGGGAGGAGGCATGCCCTCCCTCAGCCTGAGGTCCTGGCCTGAGGGGGGAAAAATCATTCTGGATCTCAATCCCCAAGTGACTCTGTCTTAACAGACTGCATCTGGGGACCGAGTCATCTGACCTATTTATTCAGAAGTCACAATGACTTCTTTGCTGCCTGCCCTTTTCTCTCTTCTCTGCATTCTATCTTGTCTCTGCCACTAGTTTGATGACCTTGGGCTGTTCGCTTCCCACTGTCTGAGTCTCAGGTTCCTTGGTTATGAAATGGGGTGTCCCTGTACTCATTGTCTGGGCCTGTTTCCAGGAAGCAGTCCAGTAGAAGTGGAATGAACAGGGACTCCGAAGCAGTCCTGAGTTCAAATCCTGGCTCCCCAGTATATCCTTGGACAAGCCATTTCAAAAAACCTCTATCCTCAGTTTCCTCATCTCCTTCCTTGCTTTGACAAGAGGATTAAATGAGATAATACACGTAAAGGATTTAACTTAATATCTATTACATAGTAAGGATTATAATGACGTGTACTGAGTGTCAGGTGCTAAAACCAGGACAGTTCTGGACACACGCTGAAGGAGACTCAGCGGTGCCAGGCAAAGGCCTTGGGGCTGGGAGATGGCCAGGCGCCCGCCAGTCCACCTTAACTCAGGCGTTGGCATGCTGGGAGGGAATGTCTGTTGGATCAGTTCACTTCCACACCCAGATCCTCATGTCTTTTCACTCTGCTTTAGAGCGTTCCAGGCCTTGATTCACCTGGTAAAATGCAACATGGGCACCGGGATCCTGGGACTACCCCTGGCTGTGAGGAACGCAGGCCTCCTGGTAAGGAGGGCTACCGCAGGTGGGGCCGGTATGACTGGGCTGTGGCAGGGAGGCGGCAGGAGAGGCTCGAAGGCTTTATAATGGCTCCAATGAGCCGCCTTTCTGGTCCAGACTTGGAGTCTGGGCATCTAGTCTGGATTTGAGCTCCAGCTTTGCCACAGACTTTGAGTGGCCTCTGCAAGTCTTTTGTCCACTCTCTGGGCCTCAGTTTCCTCCCTTGTAGAATGCAGGGGTTGGACCATGACTGTGCAATTGTGTTCCATAGAGCACTGCCTCTCAGCAATGCCTCAGAGGCCACTAAAATTCAGACTTCTGGGTCCCTTGGTCCCACCACCACACCACCTTGTCATTGTTTTATGTACTTTGTACTTTTTTGGAGCACTCCTTGGCATTGTATTTGAAAGAAGAGCTGTTGCTACCTAAAAGGACTTGCAAACCAGTTTGATAGAAAGTTCTCTGAGTCCAGGATATCTGCACTACCAAATGCCTCCCTGCAGTGTTCTTCACAAATTTGTTCTCTACTCTCTGCTCCTCCCCTGGCTCCCCCTCCCTCCAGCTGGGCCCGCTGAGTTTGCTGGCAATGGGCTTCATCGCCTGCCACTGTATGCACATCCTGGTCCGATGTGCCCAGCGCTTCTGCCGCAGGTAAGGAAAGCAGCGTCCTCATGTCAAACCTTTTGGTGCGTGGTTCCCAGGGACGTCCCAGACACATCCTACACGTAACAAGAGTTGATTTCTTAACTTCCTCCAACAAGCCCAAGAACAAGAGAAAAGCATCCAGGGCAGGAACGTAAGGCGAGGCTTTGTGCATGACTTGTTAGGTGCTCTCACTCAGGCCCTTGTGCATAACTTTCTGGCTCACCTGTAAACTGGGAATAAACAATCCATGCCTAGCCCTGCCTCTGAGAATTATCGTGAGGATCCAGTGGGATCATGGATATGAAAATTACAGCACCTGTGCAAAGTGTCTAGTATATAGTAACTAACCCACTTGACAGGTAAGGAAAACAATCCGCCAAGAAAGTACTGCCCCATGTCAAAGTCTGAGCTAGAACTTTGGTCCCTGCCCCACTGTTCTTCCCACTCCAACTGGGCCCTGCCTTGCTGTGTGTCTCCTGACTTTTCAGTATATGATCTTAGGTTAAATTGCTTCTTAGTAACTGTGAATGCACTTTCTCCTGCAGGTTTAACAAGCCCTTTATGGATTATGGGGATACAGTGATGCATGGGCTAGAGGCCAGCCCCAGCGCCTGGCTCCGGAACCACGCCCACTGGGGAAGGTACCTTGTTCTTGCTTTGCCAGAAGTGAGATAAGGTGCAGGAGGAGGAAATGCGGCCATTAGGCAACACTTCTTCCCTGGAAAACTTGCTCATTTAGCATAGAATGTTGGGCTTTCCACATGAAAGGGGTACATTGGCAACCTTCCGGAGCCAGCCCCTCCATGTAATCCTCCAAAACAGGGTATTCAGTTCTTTGTTTTGCAGTTTTAATAATATTCACTTTTTTTATTAAACCACATTTATCCAGACCTGACTGGTGTGGCTCAGTGGATTGGGCATTGTCCCACAAACCAAAAGGTCACCAGTTCGATTCCTGGTCAGGACACATGCCAGGGTTGCAGAGCAGGTTCCTGGTTGAGGCATGCAAGAGGCAACCTATCGCTGTTTCTCTTGCACATCGATGTTTCTCTCCCTCTCTTTCTCCCTCCCTTCCCTTCTCTCTTAAAATAAATAAATTTTTAAAAAATTTATTCAGTTGTTACTATGTACCAGGCCCTGGAAATACTTTGAGGAACAAGGCAAACAAGGCTTTGCCCTCACAGAACTCATAGTCCAATGGAAAAGACAGATAGTTTAAGACACAATTACTTAATAACCACTGGGATAAGTACAATAAAGGAAGGAAGAAGCTGCTACCAAGCAGGTAAGGAGATGTGCGGGAGCTTGGGTGGGCTTCCTAGGGTGGAACAGTGGAGATGAGTTCAGAAGGAAGGAGTTCTCAAGGGTGAGGAATGACCTAGGGGAGAGCACGCAGGAGCCCGGAGGGCCTTCCAGGAGGAAGGAAGAGCAAAGTTTGAAGGTCCTGAAGCAGAAAGAAGTATATTGCAATTTCAAGGTCTAGAAAGACCAGATAGCTTGAGGTTAGAAGGTTAGAGAGATGAAGCTAAAGAAGGATCCAGGGGTCGGCCTAGCTGTACCTTTTAGACCCTCTCAAAGGTTTGTTCTTTTCGTAAAAGCAACCAGGAAGGCATTGATTTTAAGAAAGGGAAGTAATTAAATGTTTTAGTCAGTGAAGTAATTATATTTGCATTGTTTAAAGATCTGCTTGACTTCTATAAGGAGAAAAGATTGCAAAGAAGCAAGAATAAGTTAGTCAGACCCATGAGGATGCTATTGATAAGGTCTTGGCAGCTGGCAGTGGTGGCTGGGACCAAGCTGGTGGCAATGGGGATGGAGATAAGTGAATTTGGTCATGATTTGGGTCCTGGAGTTGCAAGGAAAGGAAAAAATCAAGATTGGCTTAGATTTCTGATGACTTCTGTTTTGGACAAGTTGTGTTTGAGGTGCCTGGGAGATATGCAGGTGAGGATATCAAGTGGGTAGTTGCATGTATACATTTGAACCTGTCTTCATGCAGGAGACACAGAATTGAAGTCATCAACCATGAAGCCAGGAGACAGAAGAGGTTTCTTAGGGAGAGAGTTTATAGTGAGAAGAAAAAAGAGAAAAAAACTAACACATTAATGACCCTTTGGTGAGCTGAAGTCTTCCTACTGCGATGCCCAGCTTTTAGTTTTCAGGGATGATGACACAGAACAAGTCAACATCCTCTGTCTTCAAGTACTTGAGTCTAAATCCACTTTTTTGTCTTTGATTTCAGACCTGTCACCACCCCATTTGCCTACTCTTTTCTGAACACTAGCTAGACTGACAGAGTGTCTCTCAAATTGTGATACCCCAAACGGCAGTACCTGAGGTGTGCTCTGCACATGTAATGTAATCTACAGAGCATCATGGGTCTGGCACCTCCCTTGGCTCAAAGCCCATTCACTGAATTAACAAATCCAACCAATGAGCAGACTAGGAAGGCTTTGGGATGATGACCATAATTCTCCCAGTTGTGTCACCCAAGGTTTTTGCCTGTTGCAACCCCTCAAATCCTTCTACTCATTGTTGGGCATAAAAGTAGCTTCTCCTGCTTTTGCTCTTCTTAGAACCTTGCTCCACTAATCATCTCCTCTCCCATAACTTGAACTTCTTTTTTAAACTACAGGGCTCTTCCCTTCAACATCTAAATGTGTTCATGTATCTCCATCTTAAAGATAATAAAATACATTAATAAAGTTTCCTGGAGCTTACACCATTCTCTGGCCACCACCCTATCTCATGTTCAACATCTGGTTATTCAACAGATATCTATTGAATATCTACAATGCTCCAGGAAGTGCTTCAGGCAGTGGTTCTGAAATGATGAACAAAATGGGCACCATCAAGACTGGTGCTCACGATCTAGCTTCCAGAAAGGACAACCCACTCTCTGACTTGCCTTTTGAACATCCCCAGTCACATCTCTTTCATGGGTCACCTGACGTTTTTGTTCTTACGCATCTACAGTTCTTTCCACTAAGGCCCTAAAAGACCTACTTGATGTACCTTCTTTGCCCTAAAAAACTTCTAAGCGGCATTGGGTCCAATGGATTATTCTCTTCTTCAAAGATTCTCTTTTCTCTTGATGTCTGATAAACTCTTTCTCAACCTAGTTTTCTGCCCACCTCTCTGGTCATTCCTTTGCATTTGTTGCAGACTTCTTTGTTTCTATCTTTCCTTTAAGTGTTGGTGTTCTCTAAGGGTTGGATCGCTGCCTTCTCTTTTTCTCACCCTGCACACTCTTGTTTGCTGATCTACCTTCTCAAAACTTTATCCATTACTAACAAATCAATAGTTCCAGACCTTGATCTGTAGTTGCCTCCTGAATGTCTCCTGTAGGAACCTCAAGCTCACAATTCAGAAACTGAATGTGTAATTTCTTCTCTTTCCCCCTAAAACCTGTTCTTCCTTCTGAGTATCCCAGTTCATTTTGTTGTGCAAGCTAAAAACTTGTCAATCACTTTAGATCACTTCCTTTCTCTTTACCCAAGTTGTGGGTGGTCAACTGGGTTCTGTCAGTCCTAGCTTCCTAATATCTCCTAAAACGATTTAATTCTCTCGTCCCAGTGATCACATCTTTGTTCGGACTGCTGCCATCTTTTACTTCCATTACTGTAAGAATCTCCTAGTCAACCTTCCCATCCTTAGTCTTGTGCCCTCAATGTGTTCTCCACATGGCAACAGGGGAAGTCTGCCTGATCCCTCTGCTGAAATGCTCTTTCTTCACTTCTTTCTCCCCATTTCCTCCTCCTTCTCTTCCTTCTTTTATCTCTTTCTTCCCTTTCCCAAGAGACTGTCACTCAAGTATTTGTTTTTCTAAGTCTATCTGCTCTATTATTTGGGTAAAAATGCCTTTTTTACCATGGCTTTTACTGCCATATTGTTTTTGTTCTATCTTTTTCCATTAGTCTATAAACCACCAGAGTAAAGGACCAGGTGTTATTTGTCTGTATATCTTCAATGCCCATATAGAAAAAAAAATAATGTTAATAATAGATAATAAAAACATTGTGGCTACTGCCCTACATCAATTACTTTCAGTTACAAGCAATGTATCAGAGCCAGGTTGGGGAGAGGTTCCTGACCAAGAAGGATTTTACCACTTGCTGTGCTGAGAATGTGAGGGTGGTTGAGAAACATATTTATAAAAGAACTATTGTTACCTCACTTCTTATTACTGCCCCATTGTTGATAGCAGTGGCATGACCAAGGGTGCTGGTACAGGGTCACCAACCCTTGGGGACAGAAGTAGAAATGACAAGCCAACTCTTTTTTTATAACAAGTGTACCTTCTCTCTCTCTCCTTTCTTCCAGGCATATGGTGACCTTCTTCCTTGTATTCACCCAGATGGGCTTCTGCTGTGTGTATATTGTGTTTCTGGCGGATAATTTAAAACAGGTAGAGTCTTCTAAAGAAGGTGGGAGGGAAAAAGACTTGGAAAAAGAGTGCCCTCTACTAGCTTTTCAACTAATGGCTTCTTCTTTTGGTGGTCCTGGTGTCTTCATTAATATAAAAAAGTTAAACTAGATGTTATATTTAAAAAATCCAGACTTTCTGCAGTTCACTTATCTGCAGATTTCTTTAAGCAGTTACTTTTTCCACAATACCCTTTGCCCAGTATCTTGGACTTGTCCTCAAGGTTGGTCTCTAAAATTAGACTGGAAGTAGTCTTGGATTTTGCAATCTTGCTTTGGAGCTTAACCATCCTAAACTCTTCTGAAACTGAAACGAGTCTCTTTGGGTAATACCTAATCATCTTCGGGCCATCTTCATCTACCTTTAGTTGTTTAGTCTTTATGGTTTTACAGTCCTTGGCTCCAGAAAGTTCTTTTAATCTAAACTAGAAATTACCATGTAGCAATTTGAACAAACTAATATGAAGAATAAGAGGCCATCCTTAGTCAATCAATAAGCTTAAAAAAGAAAACTATTCTTTGGAGGGTCATTTTCTGTTCAGTGTAATACCATAAATTGAGAAACATAAAAAAAAAATTAAAAGCAGGGAAAAAATAGTAAGCATTCAGAATTAGTTTCTATTATATGTCAGGCACAATACTGAGCATTTTCTATGCTCTCCCCCTTTTAATTCTCTCCATGACCTTCTCAGAGCAGGTACTGAGAGGAAAACTGGTACTATACGCTCTATAATGTATGTAAGGTCACAGAGTCACAGTTAGAAATGCAGGTCTTTGACATCAGAGCTGCATTTCTATAACACTATGCTGTGATACTTCTCAAAACAAAGCGAGATTAGTCATAATGCAACCACTCATGGTTATTAACATAGTATTAACAGGTTAGCATTTAGCAATTTCCTTACAGTTTTTAATGTAATTCTGAATAATTTACTAATATTTTGTCACACAGATTGACCATGACTTAGTCTTCTACTGTTGGATATTTTCTTTGTTTCCATTTATTTTTTTCTACTATAATCTGTTTAAGTCTTAGTCCACTCCTTTATTTCCTTAGTATATATTTCTTAAAGTAAAATTACTGGGTCAAAAAGTTTGGTTGTTTTGAAGGCTTTTAAAACACATTGCCAGGTTGCTGCTTAGAAATCAATCTGATATCAGCAGAACTTTATTTATCATCTGTCTAGAGACAAGGCAAGCATTGTCTTGAGGAGTTTGCAGACTCAGTGGAATGTGTTCTAAAACATAGAAAGTTAAATATCAATATGATAATGTGGTGCCAAGTCAGGACACCGCTAACAACACCCTGATGCTTCATTGTAAACTAAGGGATAGCGATGTGTGAGCAGAGGAAGGATCCCTTGGGACATGCCTCTGAGCAGGGTGTTGAAGAGCGATGATGGCAGTCAAGGCAGGAGAAAGGAGGGATGAATGAATACCTGGGGGCAGGAATGCAGAGGACCTGCTCTGGAGGGGCTACACAATTGGTTGTAGAAGAGCCTTCAAGGTTGAATGGAGCCCATTTATGAAGGGTCTTGAAGGCCTGGCTAATGTTCCAAGTATTTTTTTCTACTGCAGTGGGGGATCAGAAAAAAAAAAAAAGACTTAATTATTTACTTAAGTATTCATGATATGTTAATGAAAAGGACATTTCTAAATAAGAGAATGCTATGATTGCAGCCTTATAAAATAAAAGGGATTCATACCATACATGTCATTGTGATACTGTATAGAAAATGTACAGATGCATATATATTCCAAGGCATTACCGTGACTACCTGTGGGTACTGAGATAACCATTGCTTCCCATTTTCTTCTTGCTTAACTTAATTGTTCTGCAGTGGATCATATTGCTTGTGTAATAAGAGTGTTTCAGTGAAGTTATGCTGATTCTAACTGAGGGTGGTACCATCCCTCCCCTGCCCCTGACTTTGCCAGTGAGTGTTTATATTGTGCATAAGACGGTGTTTCTTGTTTGTCACCAAGTTGGGGGATGCTACTAGGTTTTATTGGGTGGGGTCCAGGGATGCTAAATGTCCTGCAACAAATGGTCCAATCCTCTCAAGAAAGAGTTCTCTCACTCAAAATGCCAGTATTGGTTTATTTAAGACAGTTAAGTGATGGAGATTTTGTTTGTTTGTTTGTTTTAAGCAAAAGAAACAGATTCTAGGGGACTTGAGTAGAAACTAAGTTTAGTAAAAGAATATTGACTAGCTTTCAAAATAACAGAGAAAGCTAAAAAAAAATGGGTCTCAGAAAAGAACAGGAACCAGGGCAGTTTGGGGGTTGTAGATGGAACTGACACAGTCTAGTCAGGGATCCCTTGTCAAAAGTAAGTTGTATCCTCTCTCATTCTGTCCCTGTGTCATTTTGATAATTGTTTAGATTCAGATAGTAGGGAGAGGCTGTAAATGCCCTAGCTGAGCCAAAGGCCAGTGCTGTAGTTCTGCCACCTGACTGTGACATAGAGCCCTGTAAGGTTGTATTTGGGTGAGAGAGAATTCATCAAAAATAAATCAAAATCAGGAAGAATGGATGCTGGGTTGCCAAAAGGCACCAAGTAGCCCCTGTAAATCCAGGTATTTATTTTTTATTAAAATTATTTGTGCTAGCCCTGGCTGGTGTGGCTCGGTTGGTTAGGTGCCGTCCTGCACACCTGAAGCTTGCCAGTTGTGCAAGAGCCAATGGATCAATGTTTCTCTCTCACATTGATGTTTCTTTCCCTCTCTTTATCACTTCCTTCCCCTCTCTCTAGAATCAATAAAAGAAAAAAATTAAATACAATTATTTGTACTGTCTCTTTTGAGGAAGTATGGTACAGAAGATTTACAATAAGAAGTCCTAAATTCACTCTAATTCAAGTGAGACATTCCAGCACTTTGGGAGAGGGAGTATGGGATTGTGGGCCAGAACTGAGTTGATCACATGGCCAGAAGATTTGCTGATTCTTCCACTTGCTTTTCTTATCCTTTCCTCAGGTGGTGGAAGCCATTAATGGCACCACCAACAACTGTCACAACAATGAGACAGTGATTCCAACGCCCACCATAGACTCTCGACTCTACATGCTCACCTTCCTGCCCCTCCTGATGTTACTGGTCCTCATTCGGAACCTCAGGGTCATGTCCATCCTCTCCATGTTGGCCAACATCAGCATGCTGGTCAGCTTGATCATCATCGCCCAGCACATTGCCCAGGTTAGTACATACCACACACCTGACTCCTGCAGGGGGCAGAGCCTTTTATCAATAACAGACTGATACCTGGCGCCAGCACAGAGGGTAGGGAAGTGTTTACCTCATTCTTCAGCCGAGGACCCATCTCGCTGTGACTTTTCTTCCATAAAGATGTCTCTGTGAAATCTCATTCTTCTAGATGTCTCCTCTTTCATGTTACTTCTCTGATAATGGTTTTATGTCAAATTATGGCTTTAAAAAAAGGCTTTGCAAGGAAAACATCTTAACTGATGAACTATAGATCATTCCTGCAATAGTTGGATAGCAGCAAAAGGCAGATAAAAAGTAGCTTCTTCTTATCGAATTTCATCTGCATAGCCTTACATACTCTAGCTACAAACTCCAGGCACTCATAACGACCCGTAGGGCACTCAGTAGAAAACAACTCATATTTCATCACAGAGATATAAGTAGTCTTAAAAGACCAAAAGCCAATCTATCATGACATAAATCATGATGTCCTTGAAGTTGAGTTAAGGATATTAATTTTCCCTCAACTTCCTACTTTTCTATCCTTTCTAATTTTTATTTTGTATAATGGACAGAAATTTAAACCCCAGACGCTCCTTGTTACACCTAATACCTTTCAGATATTTTTCTCTTTCAGAAGTCACAAGGGAAAAAAGTTATATTGTCCATGGAATTTAGTAATAATAACAAATTGGTCAAATATTTTAGGATAACTATAGGTAAGTCTTATATTCCTTAAAGCAATATTGATAAATTCCACAAAATTGAATTTTATAGTGAAATAACTTTCCTGATTGTTATTTGGAGAATTCCAGAGGTTGCCCAGGTCGGGGAATGGTTCTATAATGATGTTCACGCTCTAGATCACAGGGCACGTAGCATATTTATTTTATACTCTTTCTTCATCCTCAATTTGTAGCTCATTGAAGAAGAGGAGACTTTCATATTTAACTAGTTCCTTTGGGCTCCCAGGAATATCACTGTAACTACAGTCAGCAATTTCCAATCCCCCTAACCACTGTACATTCAAAGTGTTCTCCGGCACTTCAGGTTGGCTCGAGACGCTAACCTATGGTGTGCAAGATTTTCTCTTGTTGGATCCTGAGAAACCAAACTCTTTCTGTGAAATACTGATTCTGTAATGCTTTGACAATACCTTGATTCCCCCCACCCTCAGCTGTTTGTTCTTGAGCAGTGTTAAAATCAACTTCTTATTGTCTACTTCCTTTTGAAGTTTTCTAAATTTCTTGACATTTAATTAAAAAAAAATAATTCAGGTCTACTTTCAGAATACTCCCTTAAAGGAGCCCAAACATGCTTTGAGGATTAATGTCTTACCCCATATCTCTTTTCTCTAGGATATTCCAGACCCCAGCCAGTTGCCACTGATAACAAGTTGGGAGACCTACTCTCTCTTCTTTGGAACAGCGGTTTTTTCATTTGAAAGCATTGGCTTGGTAAGGTGTGAATCGGGGTAGAATGTCCCTGGTGCCATGGGTGGCCTTCTGAGCAGAACCCAGGACCTCTGGGTTTCTGTGCACATGAGAGAAAGGAACCTCTGGCCTTACTAGGGTCAGCTGCCACCAGCAGGAGAAAAGTAGGTTACAACAGAGTAGCAGTCAGGAGACAGAGTTCCAATCCTGTCCCAGTACACCTATTTACCATTTATCTTCATATCAACATATGTTTCCTAATCTTTTAAAATCAAGACAAAGGGAGATGTATAATTTAAATGACAGGACTTGATGAAACATAACGAAGTTTTAAACAGGAAAGGACTGTATAACAATGGATTATTACATAGTCTCTATTGCAGGAAGGATAGTGCTGTGTATATAATTTTTTTTTAAATTTATTATAGTGCAATTCATTTTGGGGAGTGGCATGGAAGGGTATTGCACATTTCTGTAAGTTTTGAGAAATGCAGAGTCATAGATGCACCACAATCAGGGCAGAGGACAATTCCCTCCTGCAAAAAGCCCTCAGGCTGCCCACTTAGCAGTCAGTCCCCACCCCCCACCACCATTAACCCTGGCAACCACCCACTGTCTCTAGTGTCTTATCCTTTCCAGGATATACAAGGGATCATACAGTACATAACCTTTTGAGACCGGCTTCGTAACCTTAAAAGGACTTAACCTTTTAAGTCCACTTAACTGCACTTAAGATCATCTATGTTGTTGCATGCTCTCTATCTCTTGAGCATTCACTGTAGCAGCAATACTACAGTTTGTTTATCCATTCACCTGCAAAAGGATAGTAAGGTTGTTTCTAGGTTTTGATGATAATGAATGATGCTGCTGTAAGCATCTGTGTGCAGGCTTTTGTGTGCATGTAAATTTTTGTTTCTCCGGGAGTAGGTTTCTTAGGTCTCAGACCGAATATAATTGAGTCTTATTTTTTAAGCCAGTCTGACCGTCTTTGTCTTTTAGATTGATATGGTTAGACTACTTGCAGTTAGCGTAATTATTATGATTTAGTAGATCTGTGTTTTGTTTTATCCTTCCTCTCGCTTTTCCTGTTTTCCTTATTTATTTTTTATTTTTTGTCTTCCTTTGGATTATTTGAATACTTTATATTCCCCTTTCATTTGCCTATTGAGTTTTTGACTAGTATGTTTCTCTAATACCTACAGTGGTTGCTCTGGGGATTCTAATGTACATATATAACTTTGCACAGTTTACTTAGAGTTAATATTTTATCATTTCTGATAAACTGTAAAAATCTTATTTGTCATATAGGTCCCTTAACTTTCTTCCCTTTACATTGTATTGCCCATGTATATTATATCTAGGTACATGGAAACACCATCAGACAATCATTCCTATTCCTTACTTACAACGAACTTACTAGGAGAAAAATAGCCTCTCATATCTATGAAGATGATTATGATTTCTGTTGCTCTTTATTCTTGGATTCACAAGTTTCCCTCTTGTATCATTTTCCTTCAGCATGAGGAGCCTTCATTACCATTTCTTTTCTTTTTTAAAAATTTTTTATTAAATTTATACCTCACATAAATGGAATCATATAGTATCTGTCCTTTTGTGGTTAGCTCATTTTATTTTGTATAATGTCCTCAAACTTCATACACGTTATGGCATGTGTCAGGATTTTCTTCCTTTTTAAGGCTGAATAATGTTCCATTGTGTGTATGTACCACATTTTGTTTGTTTGTCCATTCTTCCATCAACAGACCCCTGGATTGCTTCCGCATTGGGCTAACGTGAGTCATGGTGCTATGAACATGGGTGTGCAAACATCTCTTCAAGTTCCCGCTTCCAATTCTTTTGGACGTATGCCCAGAAGTGGCATGCCTTTCTTCATATTCATGTCCTTTCTCCTCCTGTCTTCTCACACAGTGATATTTCCATAGGTTCTGCCCCTGGAAAACAAGATGAAGGATACCCGCCACTTCCCAGCTATCCTGTCCTTGGGAATGTCCATCATCACTGCCCTGTACATTGTCATCAGTGTTCTGGGCTACCTGCGGTTTCAAAACGACATCAAGGCCAGCATAACCCTTAACCTGCCCAACTGCTGGTAACTTTACGGGCCCTCAGTGGCGGGGACTCAGGGCCGGGTGGGACCGTTTAGGTCACTTTCTCCTCCCTTCTGCAGATGGCAAACTGAGGTCTAGAGGGCCGCCCAGGGAGAAGCAGAGCTGTTGCTGCAGTCCTGGGCTCTGGGTTCTCTGTTAAGGGAGCGCCTCCTTCAACCACAGCCTCTCATGTTGAGTGAGGCCTTGTTAGCACAGTATGAAGGAGGACATTATTTAGGAAGAAAGGGAAGAAATGAGAGGCTTTGGTCACCAAAGGAGAGAAGGGAAGGGTCTGAGGAGGTCAAGAGGCAAAAAGAGGCATTGGTGGGTGGCAACTCCTCCAATTACATTTGCGGAGGCGGTGTCGCCAAGTCTTGCTTGCCATCGCCAGTGGTGCTCATCCCCATGCCGGGGTAGCTAGGATGAAAACATAGTAAAACAGAACCAAGTTGGGAAGACCACTGTATAAATGTTTTGTCCAAATGCACTCAGTTCATGCAACAGTTAGCTGAGCCAGACTTCAATAGGGCCATATTTAAATAGGCACATGAACCCACTTGCATTGTGAACATTTTTTCCCACACGGAGGCATATCATTAATTTCAAGATGCCTGCCTTTTTAAGGGTCACTTGGAAGCTTAATTTGCCTTAAATGGGGTGCCTTTCCCAAGTTGATAAATGTCATTCATCAAGGATATACTGGATGCCAATTATATGCAGACGCCCGCTTAGACACATGGGAGTACGGAGTGTGCTGATATGAGCAGACTGTGAACTTGAGCTTCACTACCTTCCCTGACTCATAATCCAGTGGGAATGTAGGAGGGATAGATAGTATATAAAACAGTTGTTATACAGAATAGAAAAAGAAGCCTTCCAGAGGAACAAAGAGGCCTTGGGGACTTATTTTATTTTATTTTAGAGAGGGGAATGGAGGGAGAAAGAGAGGGAAGGAAACACTGATGTGAGAGAGAAACATCAATTGATTGCCTTCTGCCATCTGCAAGAACCCCAATGGGGCAGTGTACAGAGCTTGCAACCCAAGCATGTGCCCTGACCAGGAATCGAACCAGAGACCTTTAATTTTGCAGAACAATGCCCAACCCGCTAAGCCACAGGAGCAAGGGAAGGCCTTGGGGACTTTCAAAGAAAGAAACTACATTAGAATAGGACAACAGAAAATGTTGTTGTCTAACAAGACAATCCTGTCCAAACAAGGACAACTCTGGCACTCTTGGATCCAGATTCCAGATGCACTGCATCCTAGTTTGAGGTCATGGGTGATTTACTTAACCTCTCTGACCCTCAAGTTTCCTCATCTATAAAGCAGAATTGTCATGAGGATTGAGTTGGGCATATCTAAAAGCATCTGGCATATAGTACCTCCTCAAAAGTTGGGAATTTCAAGAAATCTGTGGGGTTTGGACAGATGAACATGGAGTAAGTGGTATTCCAAGCATCAGAACTAGTGTGAGCAAAAAACACAGAAACGTGGGAGTTAGCCTTGTAAGGAATGGCCTAAACAGACTCAGGCATATGCATAAATGCACAGGTTTAATAAACATGTGAGATTCATCTACCATATTAATGGATTAAAGAAAAAAGGTCATTATCTACATAGGACAAAAAAGGCTTTGATAAAACTCAACACCCCCATCACACACTCTCTCTGCCCCTAGTCTAGAGCCTACAAGTAACCCTGCCCCTCTTTTTACCACCCCAAGCCCTCTCACACGGCTCTGTTTATAGACTGCCTCTTCCCCCAAGGATTTCTGGCAACTCACTAGAAGTATTTGTCGTGTGCCAAGAGCATTGGGGGGATCTGGAGAATTCTTAAGGACTGAGAGAGATCACAGGGACCAACGTCTTTTAGACCCAGGGTTTTTGGACTTCGCCACTCATCACTTGTCTCTCCCTGGGCAAGGTACCCAGACTGAGCCTCTTTCCTAAAATTTAAAACTGAGCATCAAGGGATAGTGGTTTGCGAGGTGTTATATATATACCTATGCTCAAGAAGACCCTCTCAGCTGTTGCCTTTCAAATCCATGATGCTTCAGTCTATTTTCACTGCGTGCTCTGCTGGGACTCCCTCTTGGCTCTTAGAAGTCCCCGCCCCCATCACTTTCAGACAAGGAAACTGTAGCCAGAGGGACTGTTCTAAAGTCAGAGGTTAATGTTCGAGGAGGCTGGGTGTCAGAAACCGGTGGTCAGAGAAAGCATAGCTGTTCTATCCTGCAGGCTGTACCAGTTGGTCAAGCTCCTCTACGTCACCGGCATCCTGTGCAGCTACGCCCTGCAGTTCTATGTTCCTGCAGAAATCATTATCCCCTTTGCCATCTCCCAGGTGCCCAAGCGCTGGGCGCTGCTTCTGGACCTGTCCACCCGCTTCACCATGGTCTGCCTGACATGTGAGTAGAAGGCAGAGAGAAAAGTTGCTCTTTGTCTGAGGGCTATCAAAAATCAGCTGGATGATGAAGGAGAGTCATACTAACCAGCACTGATTCAGCACTAACTGTATTACAGGGACCAGAAAAGGCTTTACAAGTAATAATTCATTTTAATCTCAGGGACAACCTAATTCTTACAGCTACCTAATTAGACAGTTTTACTGCTGTACAGCCTGAGGAAGGGGTCACAGCTTATCAAACAACAATCATATCAGAACTGGTATTTATTAAACACCTACTATGTGCCAGCCACTCTAAGCACTTTTCTAGTCCATATTTCATAGACTTCCATTCAGTCCCGCAGGAACTCTTATGAGATAGGACGATGATAAACCCCACTTTACGAATGAGAACACTGAAGCAGGAGGTGATGAGTATTTGGCCAAGACAAGACAGAGATGGGATTTGAACCCAAGTCATCTAAGTCCAGAGCCAGGACCCTTCACCCCCAGGACAGAGGTTGAAAATGACAGTGAGTGATCTCGTCTGGCAGCAGAGGTGTATTGTTTGACCCTCACAATGTATAAATGTACAAATCTGGGTCAACATTAAAAATGTGGGAGATTTTGCATACAAATCCATATTTCTAATGTTTTGTGGGGAGGGGAGAATGATTTGGCAGCTCTAGGGTCACATTCCCCACTGGCAGAAGTCACCTGGACTTGCCCCCTGGATGGGCCCCACTCACCCCCTTACAGCCCTCCCCCTGCTTCATGTCTCAGGATCCCGGGTGCCCCGTTTCTGTGAGTATCTTAGCAGGGACAAAGGGAATAACAGAGATTCCTGCATTGAGTGTGACAGGACCCAGTCGTCCCTAAGGTTCCTTTTAATTGTGATTCTAAGAGTGTCCCTCTTGCTTCTTGCTGTACTAGACCAGGCCATATAATTCACTGGACACTGATTTTCTTCCTCTGAAGTGATCTGTTCCCAGTTTACACTAGGAGGCAAGGACACTGCCATTCAGAACCTCAGAGACTCAGAGAGGTGAAGAAATTTGTCCCAAATATAAAGCTAAGAATTTCTGTAGCCTAAAACTAGGTCTTCGGAACACGCAGCACACATTGCCCCAAACAAAATTTAAGCATAAATGGCTTTTTTGAGTACTTTACATCGATTAACTTGTTTAAAACTTTAACATTGTTTGAAATATGATCCATAATACCTAAAAGGATAGATGACATTGATCCCCATTTTGTAGATGAGGAAACAAGATGAGAAAGGGGCAGGGACTTGCCCTCAGCCACAAAGGAGATGTCAGAACCCCACCTTCCAGACCTGCTCCTGTAGTCATGCTAATTATTAAAACATGAGCTCTATGAAGACAGGCTGCGGTTTTGATTTTTGTTTTATACAGCAATACGTCCTAAATAGTTGGAACCATTCCCAGCACTGTTATTTAGTGAAGCTGAATCACTGAACATGCAGGGATTCAAAACATACCTTAGTGGCATAAACATTGTTTTAAGCTAAAAACATTTGAACAAACAGCAGCCACAGGTGGAAAGAAAAGAATTTTATCTAAACTTCCTTTGCTGAATTAAGCAGGACCCTCCTGAAAAGCGGAGCTGCCACAAAGTCCCTCTCTGGGATGCTTTCAACCACAAAGAAGACTAACTATCATGACACACTGAGAAATTACGCAAAAGAAACTTTATCTGAAATTGTCATACCTTCCACTTCTCTTACATTGAAGCTCTGCCCTCCCCCTTTCACCATATGAAATGGGAATATGAACACCTATCTTTGACTATTCCAGGACCCAATTCACCTGAAGGCTCCCTAGCCCTGAATAAACTTTGTCTTTTCTCTTGTTACTCTATTGTCAGTTAAATTTTCAGGCCCCCATTACAGAACCTATGTGGGTAGTTTTTCCTCCCAACAATATGAATCTATATATTTGAAAAATGATTAGAAGGAGACACACCAAATTTTTAATGTGTAACCTCTAGTGAACGCAATAGGGGACATTATGGGACTTTCAACTTTCTCTTTATGTGCCTGAATGTATGAGAAACAACTGGTTTATGTTTTAAGAAAAGGGTTTTAAAAACAAACTTTAAAAGCTTGGCTAAGCCCGGGATGATCTGTCTATCCGGTGTCATCTCCCGCAGGCATCTTGGCCATCCTCATCCCCCGCCTGGACCTGGTCCTCTCCCTGGTGGGCTCCGTGAGCAGCAGTGCCCTGGCGCTCATCATCCCGCCCCTCCTGGAGATCACCACCTACTACTCGGAGGGCATGAGCCCCCTCGCCATTGCCAAGGACGTCCTGATCAGCATCCTGGGCTTCGTGGGCTTTGTGGTGGGGACCTACCAGGCCCTGGATGAGCTGATCCAGCCGGAACGCCCTGTCACCTTTTCCAACTCTACCACTTTTATTTAGTGAGAATGGCACATCTCCTCACCCACCAGCACCTGACTTTTAATGATAGGGAACTCTTTTATACCTGTAGTATCTTCATTTTGTGAGGACTCACCAGCTACAAGGTCTAGATGGTAATTTTTTTTTTAAATCATTTTTATTCCTTTTCTTTCCATCCCTAGCTTTCTGCTACTTTGAGAGCTCTCCCATGGAAAGCTCTCAATTCCATCCAACTTTTTGGCAGCCCACACAGTGAATTTCACACCCTGAGTGGAGCTATGCAAGAAGTTGCCACCAGGGGCACCCAAGTGGCAGCAACGGGCAGGAGGTGGTGTGGCCAGCTAAGGCCAACCTGGATTTGGCAGGCACAGGGTTCCAGCAAGGCAGGCACAGCTCCAACATCAAGGTGGATAGGGCCAAGAGGTCCATTGTGAGCCATGACTCAAACAGAAGAGCCATCATATTTGTCAAGGACAATACTCTTTCTAAACCACTGGATAAAGTTTTGGCCCAGTTCAAAGATCCCAACAATAGGTAGGAAGCATGGAAGTGGATGTGCCAATGGCAGGGGAATAGGGGTGGATGGTGATATTATTGGGCATTATTTTCCCCTTAAGTCTTTCAACATCATGATTACCTACTGTGTGCAAAGTATAGTTCAAGGCTCTTGTAGTAGATTGCAAAAATGGCCACAAACTCCTCTTGACAATGTGATTTTTCAGCTCCTTCCACAGAGAGGGGAAATCTACCTTTGGAATCTGGTCTTAGCCTTGGATGTGCTTTGGCCAATGGGACATTAGTAAATGGAATGCAAGCAAAGGTTTGGTGATGGCTCATGCATCAGGACTTCCATCTCTTGCTGTGCTGTGGAGCCAAGACCACCAGGTGAAGAAGCCTGGACTAGCCTACTGGAGGATGGGAGACCATGTGAAACAAAAACCAGTTATCCCAGTTGAGCCCTGTCCCCCAGATCAATCAACTTGCCAGCTTCCAGATACATGAGTGAAGCCATTCTTAGGCTGTATCCCCCAGTGAAGCTGACCTGGACCATAAGAACTGACCAGATGATCTACAGAATTGTGAGAATATAATAAATGTTTGTGATTTTAAGCCATAAGGTGTGGGAGTTTTTATGCAGCTGAAGTTAACTAATACATCACTCTAAAGGACATACACCAATGAGTGAAAAAGGAATCCCCACCCTCAACGAGCTGGTCCAGCATCCACCAGGAGAGAATGGCAGGTAAGCAACTAATCACAGGTCCTGACTGCCCTGGAGTACTAATGATGGCTTTCCACAGGTGGTGCCATTGAGAACTGGGTCTCCCAACACGGAATCTGGCCCTCCTTCTACTCAGTCCTGCTGCCTTGACATTCCGGGGTTCTCTCTCGTGACCTTGGCTGGCAGCCAGGGGCCAGCAGCCTGAGACACCACCTCAGCCTTCCTGGTGCTATTTGCTCTTTCCCCCCTAAAATTACTGAACCTGAGACAATATTCCTAAATAACCAAGTAGATAGTATAGGCAGATCTGCAGTCCCAGAGGAGGGAGATTCTCACTATGCTCTCTGTGGTTTACGGGAATGACGCATGCTTCTTTCACCCTCAGTTTTAAGAGAACATTTGAAAAAGGCCTTTTCTGCTTATTTTTAACCATCAACCTCCCTATGCAGCCTAGGGAAAATTGGGGGGGTGGGCGGTGTGGGGAGGAGTATGTGTCTGCCCCATTTCCCAAGTCCTGGTCTGCTCCTTTTCTGTTACTTTCCACCTGTTGGATTTCCAGAAAGTGCTTCAGGAGCACAAGCCCTGCTCAGGTAGGGGACGGGCTGGCCAACCACACCCAGATCCCATGGCCTGCAGAGTACCTGCTAGGAGACGGGACATTCAGCCTGTGTAGTGGGCCACAGCCCGTCTAGCCAGAGGGTGGCTTATCACTTCCACCCACGCTTCCGTTTCACCGGCAGGCCCAAAGGACTTCCACTGGTCGGTCAGAGCCTTGGCAAAGCCATCGTCCTCTCTCTGACCTTGTTTTTCTCACCCTGATCCACTATCATCCCATTCATCCTTACTAAGTTAAACATGGTCTTCTCTGTTATCGAAAAACAGTCACACTCGTTCTCCAAGGACAGAACCCTACTGTGCAAAATCATCAGGTTAACCTTATTATTTAGATCAATATGGAGAAAGTAAAATCTTGGAAAGAAGAAATAAATTTAGCAATACTGATGTAACCAATAAAAGCAAGCTAAAGGAACTCATTAGTAATTGCCAACAACACTAAAGACTACCAACCGTTAGAACTGTGTTTGAGTGTTGGGATTAAAATTTTTGATTACCTGGTACTGGCTTTTACACACATTCTGCCCCCACCCCCACATTTAACTTATTGATTCTTTAATTTTTGGAGCTTATTATTGAATCAAGAGTCTTAGAAAATCCTTCCTTCCCTCCTTGAACACTTACTGTTTTTCGTAGGATAATCTCATTTATTCCTTTCATTTCTGTGAAGTATGTATTGTCATTGTCCCCATTTTCAGACCAGGAAACATGTTCACAGGTATTAAGAAAGATGCTGACCATCAAATATGTAATGACAGGTGGGTCCAGGACTCAGAAATTTGTGCCCCAACACTCCTCCCTACCCTGCGGAGCCCAAGAGAGACCTTTGAATGGTGGTGATCAAAGTGGAAAAAACAAATAGGAAAATTATGTCCAATGGACTACATATATGTAAACATTAGAAACTCAATAATCTCCCTTTACAAATAATCAGCTATAAAATTAAGATGGGGGTTCAGGGAAGGTGTATAGTGAATCAGGAGCAAAGCCATCTTACAAGGTTTCCTGATGCTGTTTAAATTCTTCACAGTTATAGACAGAAGAAAGTCTGTCCTACTTTTTATATGTAGGTGTCCTGATTCTGATACCAAAATCTAACAAAGCACATCCCAAAACTATGACCAAATACAAAAATGCAAGGACCTTAAACAAAAATAATAGCAAATAGGATATGGCAACATATTAAGGCTTTTTTTTTTAATCCTCGCCCAAGAATATATTTATTGATTTTAGAGAGAGAGGGAGGGAGAGAGAAACATCATCAGTTGCCTCACATACTTACCCCAATCGGGGATCAAACCCACAACCTTTTGGTGTATTAGACAACACTCCAAGCAACTGAGCCACCCATCCAGGGCAATGGTGGATGTGTTAACACTACTAAATGGCACGCTTAAAAATGGTAAAAATGGTAAGTTTTATGTTGTGTGTATTTTTCACAGTTTTTTAATTTATTGATTTCAGAGACAGAGAGAGAGAGAAACATCGATTTGTTGATCCATTTATTTATGCATTCGTTGGTTGATTCTTGCATGTGCCCTGACTGCAATGGAAACTGCAACCTTGGCACATCGGGACAATGCTCAAAACAACTGAGCTGCCTGGCCAGGGCCTCACAATTTTTTAAAAAGCTGTATCACACATCAGATTGGTGGCAAGACAAGTGCATGAACGAAGCACATTAAAGTCTTCATAGCTGTTCTCTCTGGATGGTGGCGATTCTCACTTTTGTAGTTTTGTGACTGTTTCACTTGGTTTTGAAATGAGCATAGCCTTTATTATAATCTGTCACTGTCTTGTTGTTTGTTTCTTGCCATCTTCCTACTTCCTACTAAAGTGCAGACTCCTTGAAAGTGTTCATTGCTGAGTCTGCAGTGCCTGCCTAATACAGAGCAGGCATTCACTACTAAGTATTAAAGCAATGAATAAATGCATTGGGGAGGGGAAATTGTTTTCAACTTGAGAAAAGGCTTTAGGGCATCAGAGAAGAGAAAGATCTCATTTGATATTCAGGGAACAGAAGAGGCTCATAGAGTTGATTTTGGAGCATTACTGAAGGTTGACGTGGGGAGCACTTCAGTCCCCCCATAATCTTCATAAGTAGCCTGATCAGACCTTTCCAAATAAACCTACAGTCAAAGGACAGCGTGCCTGGGTTTGCTCTGCAAAGGCATCTTTGAGACTTTTTTTCATGCCAGTCCCATCCTTCCAGTTACACCAAAAACAGTGGAGTTACCTTTGACCCCTGTCTTTCCTTTACACCACACATCAAGTCCATCAGCACATCCTCTTGGCTTTAGCTTTAGAGATACCTAGGCTTTGGTCACTGCTCACCATCTCTTTAGCTACCACCCTGGTCTAACCCACTGTTGACCTGGGGCATTGCAGTTGCCTCCTAGTTTATTGTAACTGATTATATCCCTGCTTTTGTTCTCGCCCCGATTCAATTTGTTGCCGACAAAATGACCAGAGAGATCCTGTTAAAATCCAAGTCATGTCACTTCTCTGCTCAAAACCCTCAGTAAAAGCCAAAGGCATTCCAGTGGCCTACAGGTTCCTGCCCACCCCATTCCATCCATTGTTTCTTACTTCCACTTACATGACCTACATCTCTGATGTGATCGTGTAATTTATCCTTCAAGCTGGGATACTTTTGACAGTGAAAAGAGGTAATGCTCTTAATTACTAATTATTAATTGTGCCACGACAATAAGCACAAACCAGCACAGTCCTGGGAAAACGAGACATATGCCCCCTCTCCTCATCCCCCCTGTCCTCTGTGCACACGGAGCTAGCAACACAGTCTTATCATTCCTGAAATACCCCAGGCACTCTTCTGCCTCAGGATCTTTGCACTTACTCCTCCCTCTCCTTTTAAGTTTCTTACCCAAAACGTACACAGGGTTTGCTCCCAGTATGGAGAATAGTGCCTCGCATACAGAGGAGAGAAAAAGTAGGTTAATAATAATAATAAATATAATAATAAATAATAATAAAACAAGAATAAACTGTCTCACATACAACTGTAAACCTACTTTTGCCCACCTCTGTATACTAGATGCTGAATAAATGTTTTCTGAATAAATAATTTTTTCTGAGTTTACTTGCACTCCTTTTCAAATGAGTGGCAGTCCATACATGCCTCCTGTTCAGAAAGTCTCAGCAGGTAGCCTTTGAACTGCGCATTAAAAACCAAGTTTCACCACCCACCCACCCCCTCCACACCCACCCTCACCCACCCCCACCCACCCCCTGCCCCAGCCCGGGAATGGGGTAGCCGGACTACTCTGTTGGGCCACACCTGCACCCTGGGATTCTGCAGCACCTTATTGGCCAGGCAGCCTCCATTGTGAGGTAGCTCCAGTTTCCTCCTTGCCAGACACAGCAGAGCACTGGGCCTGGCCCCACATCCAGGCACCAGGACCTCCAGTCCAATGGTGTCTTCTTCTCTCCAGTCATACTCTTCACTTTGTCCTGTAGCGCTAAGGGCTAAACTGGGAGGGGCTGAAAGTCCAGGCAAGTCCTGGCATGTGGCCGATCAAACACAAGGGGCACTGAGAGTCATCCCGAGATGAGACTCTCATAAGTCCCCAAAAAGCCAGGTGAGGCATAGTCAACATCAGCTTCCCCTGCCCACCAGCACTGGTTTTTCTGGGGAAAAAACCCATGGAAGGCTGGCTCGAGGCTGTTACAGGCCTTAACCCTGAGCCACTGCCACCTACCCACCATGTCGAAGACGTCATTGCTTGGAAGGGACGACAATAGTGAGTCCAGCTCCCTGGATGACGGGTCCAAGTCAATCTCCAAGAGCAGCAGTAATACGAGGTCAGAGGATGTCCATCCTGCTGAGGAAGGCAATACGTTGTCGTAAGTGACCACCCTGCCCTTCCAGATCTGAGGTCAAGCGCTGTGGCTCTGAGAGCTCTGGGCCATGTCTCCCTACTTCTCTTCTTTACCTGCTTATCCCCATTGAACCAGAGATGAAGGGATGAAAGACAGAAACTTCAGAATCTGAGAAGGTTGATCCGTGCGGCTCTGGGTGTTACACCTGTTGTCCAGTTTTTGCAAAGAACCCAGATAGAGTAGCCATCCCCAGTGTGAGCCTCTTGATCCCAGGAACAGTTTTGTGTCTTAGGCTGGCTGCTTTCCTCCCCGACATCTGCTCTTCTTCGTTTTCTCTCTGTCTCTCTCTCCCTCTCTTCCTCCCTCCCAACAGCAAATCC